AACCTTTCCCTAAATACACTGTGGTGCAAAAGTCTTGTCCTACTTACTTTTCTAAAAAGTTTCATCAATTTTCTTTGATAAAGTTCATGGCCCTCTTTAAGCCATTAATGGTTTTAGTTACACAAATATATTTACAATTTATGTACACAAACGTTATCGCTACTTATTCATTGAGAAAAAAATATAATTGTCAAAACACCCCTCAAAATCGTGGTGCAAAAGTCTTTTCACACAAAACGAAATTAAGCTTTAATCAACATTTAGTCGCTCCTCCTTTTGCCAAAAGTACTTCTTTAATACGAGTAGGCATCGATGCAATTAATTCATCAAGAATTCCAGGTCCAATCGTCCTCCAAATTTTTCTGATGTAAAACCATAGCTCGACTTTACGATTGAACCGTTTTCCTCGCAATTTTGATTTCAAATAAGCCCATAAATTCTCAATAACATTTAAATCCGGTGAGAATGGTGGAACCTTAATTAAAGAAACGTGATTGATTCCAAACCATCCCGGTAAATGTGCTTTTCCTCCATTCGAAATAGGCACAACGCGGCCTATCAAAAGTTTGCTCTTGTGTACTGGCGAATTATCTTGATAAAGAAACCATCCTGGATTCATCGAAGCAGTCGCAAATGGAAGTAGACACCTGTCCAATATCTCAATATATTGGCGGGAATCCATTCGGGAAACTTTACGAGGACCAGCGAACCTGTTGAACTTTTACACATCGCACTTAAAGAAATCATTTTGAGCTGTATAAAAAGAATCCTTACCGAAACACATAATTGATCCTCCGACTGTTTTCACCGTGAGTTGCAAGTACGTGAGTTGATATCGCTTTCCAATTGCACGTCGGATCAGATGATTTCGATTTGAAGGAAAAATATCAACTTTGGTTTCATCAACAAAAATCACTCGGGCCCAATCATCGATTGTCCAATTTGAATAGGTTCGAGCAAATTGAAGGCGCTGCCTCCTGTGTTTGGCTGTCATCATAGGCTTGAAAGCAGGTCTTCTAGTATACAATGCTGCTTGAAGTAAGCGTCGCTGCAAGGTCCAGCGGGAAATATTCTTGTTTGAAGTTTGTTTGAAAAGAATGACTCCATCGTTCAACGTCAAATTCGGATCCTTTTTGAAAGCCCCCGTAAGGAATCGGTCTTCATTCTTTGTTGTAATCCTCGGCCGTCCCTTTTTCCTACATCTGTGCACATTTCCAGACGCATTCATTTTTGCCATGACAAGAGAAACTGTTCGGGGCGTACATCCTAAGAGGCGAACAACGTTTTGTCGTGGCATTCCTTCCTTCCTTCCTTGCCTTTCTTTATCCGCAGTTGAAAAGTACGCTCCCGGCATCTAAAAAAAAATAAAATGGTACCAGTAAATATGAAGCGAACGAAAATAATAAAAATTTTTGCAAATGGGAAAAGACTTTTGCACAATGATTTTCAGGGGTGTTTTGACAATTATATTTTTTTCTCAATGAATAAGTGTTGTATAGCGATAACGTTTGTGTAAATAAATTGTACATATATTTGTGTAACTAAAACTATTAAGGGCTTAAAGAGCGCCATGAACTTTATCAAAGAAAATTGATGAAACTTTTTAGAAAAGTAAGTGGGACAAGACTTTTGCACCACCGTATAAATAAAACCTTTCTTTGCGTTCATTCGACCCCAAAGTTTTGTTTGCAAGGCCAAAAATTACACATTGCTAGTTTTGTACTTACAATTTTCGAAGGTGTTTAACTGTTTTTAACCCATGTTTAACTCGATGATGATCTGTGGGAACAAGAAAACCAGCTAGATCTTCTCGCAAAAAGTTTGGGATCTTTCGAAAGGGAGGCCCGGATTCAGCAATTATTGGATCGATGGAATCTTCAGGGTAGTTTGTTTTATGCGTATCGAATAACGTGACGTGAGCATTGGTTTTTCATCATCAAATTTTGAGGACTTAATATGGTTTCGACCTTTATAAGGTGACGGAGGCTCAAGGTGAAGGGAGTGTGACTGAGCTCTGGATCAACATATCGTTGATCGTTTCAACAGACCCTAATTAAACTTCAACGTATCAGTACAACCGTTTCAGTAGTTTCAAGGATGATCTGTCAGAATAAGAAAACCAGCTCGATCTTCTCTCAAGCAAACTGTCAAATTTCTCACTAGCTCTTCACAAAAAGGTGTACCAGTCCATTCTTATTCATTTCTCTGTTCTTCACCACAAAAAACTGCTCGTAAAACTATCAGCAAATCGACCATAAAAAGAGTCCACCTTTTTTTCAGTTTCAAAGCTTTTTGTTGCGCCTTAAAATTTCTGATCGGATTAATTCCTAAAAGTGATGGCGTTTTTCTTGCTTTTTTATAGAACAAACTTTGAACAGTTTGCATAGAGGTAATCTATTCTTTGTGACTCAAAAAAAGAGTTGGCTCGTTTTACGACCATTCCCGAAATTGAGGATATATTTCGTTTCGCGACCTTTACTCTTATCTCACTGTTCCCCTACTTCAGCGGCGTCAAAGAAATGAACAGGTGAAGTCTTCTTCATTTGCACAAATTTACTGCCTTTTGAAATTTCTAATGACTTTATGGTTTAGAGAAATGTTTTTTTCAAACCGGCACTTGTTAGCTTTCTCGTAATCTTTGCGCAAATCGAGGCCCATCAGTCAGTATTTGAGCGTTTGTTAAATCCAAACAGCAATAAAATATACTAGAATAGATTTTGAGCTGCTAATCCTTACATACCTAAACCGTGTTTACTTTGAAAAAAGGTCTGATTGAATTATCAAAGGACTTACCGCTTGATCTACCAAGAATAATGCTATACTAAGAAAAGATCTGTACAGTTTCAATCATCCAAATCACTCACCGCAAGAATGTATGTTTGAGAGAACGAATGAGAATCGACGAATCGAATCATTTTCCCTTGCTTCCCAATGTCCTTTTATATTGTACCGATGGAGCCAAGCAACACATTGACATTATCTACACTGATCTAAAGCAAGGTATGCTATTGATAGAAAAGGGAAAGAAATTCAAGCATTTCAACAGAGATTATAAAGAGTTTAGGGAAAGTGTCCAGCAGATATGTGTTCATATCGGTGATTGTAACAGTGCTCGAAAGGGGCTTTGGAAAATAAAAAGCAGCGATCGTACAAATAAAGCATTGCTAAATGCTGTTTTTGTTTTGTTCCAAACACAGAATTTGTCAAAACTTTAGCGTATCGTCATTATTCACTCAGATTGTTGTGCAACTGAGCTAGTCAAAAAACAAAAATTCCCATTAAACGCTTTATTGTAAAAACTAATTCTGGAATCCATCTTCAAAGAGATTATTATCCGGCAGCCTTTGCAATACAGAGTCCCCTTGCTGGGCCGCATGGAGCAGTTGTTGGTGGACAAAGAGAGCAAATCTCACATGGAGTGGCCGCAGAATTGTATGGAGGGGAATTGTTGGTCATTCCACTGAAAATAATGAATATTTGAGATCAGTTTGAAATCACTGTTTGATTCATTCATGTTTCGCAGATTCCTTACCCGTTTGTTTGAAGAAGACAAGTGATACGATAAGTGCTTGTGTAATTCTTGTAAGCACAACCGATTGACAAGGCATTCTCACCAACAAACTAAACAATTCTTTTAATTACAACAAGTGAGTCACTCCTTTTACCATCCAAACTTGATTTTGATAATGCTGATCTCTGGTGATCGTTGTCGACAATTTGTATTGATAATTGAAGGTTGGAACTCCAGTTGAGGTCAAATATCCATACCACCAATTGTTCCATCCCTCCTCAACTGTAACCCGTCAAGTATCAAAAACCAGTCTTTATCTCATAGTCAGTGCATATAAATCAAAAACCTACACATTTGTTGTCCAGTAATTGTGTTGACTCCAGCTGTACCCGCCCAGAATCCAACGTTGATTTCTCCAGCTCCAAATGTATCTCCACGAGCATCCATCCATTGTGCAGCTGTTGTTGCAAGTGTGGCATTCCATTTCTGAAAGCATCTCTTAACGCTTTTTCATAACAATCACTCACCAATGAATAGAGTTTCTTTGCCGGTGGCCAGAAAGAATTTGACTAAAGAATTCAGATCAAAAAGATATCGAATGAAGGAATCACCGGATTTGACGAGTTATGCCAAGACTGACGACCCCAAGCGACATTCGAACGGAGTTGATTGACTTGCTAAAAAGGGTTTGACCCAAGATATTACGAATGCCATTTTGTATCTGCTTCACCCATTCGAATCACCTACCGCAAGAATGTAGTTCGCGACAGCAGCCGTATAGGGGACAGCCGTTGCTCCAGTTCCTGCAGCTGCTCCGATGACTGGGGGACCGTATCCAGAAATATTTGTGGCTGCGGTGGCTAAAAGTAATAATTGGCACATTCAGCTTTATTTTAGTTACCAGCTACAAGAATCGCAAGAATTGAAAGAACACTCATTTTTGAGAGAATGGATGAGAATCGACGAATCGAATGATTTCCCTTGCTTCCCGATGTCCTTTTATATTACTTTTTGTACCAGATTCCGATGATCTTTCTCTTTAATCCCAGCTAATATTTCGTTTTTCTATTCAATCCTAAATTTCTCCCCAAATCGTTCGATGATTTGTGGCTTCTGAAAGGGAACACACAAAATGAACCCGATCAAATCCAATTGATCTTTCGTTCCTCGGATAAACAGGGCCAGTGAATTCAAAATGATCTATTCAAGGTGTTCTATATTGGGATACAGATCAAACAACAGCCAAAATCACTTTTCAATGTAAACTGCGGATTTTTGGAAAGAATCGAATGAAGAAAATTAGATGAGGTGGGACTTTTGAGCTAGTGAAATGATCCATGTACTTTTTAGATCAAGTTTAATGTCTTTTGTTTGTTGAATAAAGTGCTGGTTTCTCTTGGTTTTATTGAACTGCTTTTTTCAAGGTTACGGTAAAAAGAACAAGAACAAGATTTACGCTAACGAAAAATTTAGGTATTTACTCTAATCATGTTGTAGAAGCCACAGTCCTCACGGCATCCTTTTCGGGATTGTCTTCTCTATAGAAACACACCATCATAAGACTGAAATTTGAATGTTAAAGTAAGACAAAGACAAAATTACCCAATGCTTAGGCTTTGTAGAGCGCTAATTGTAGAGAAGATGAAATGAAATCGACTCTCGCTTCCAACATCGAAAAGTGACTCATAGAAGGGGAACATGGGGAGAAAAATAACAATATAGTAGAAAATGTTCATCGAGTGACTGATCAGCATCTAAAAGAAGTTTTGACGCTTTCTCTTCTAGATTTCTTCTAGATTTTTCACCTGGTCTTTGTGACTTCTCGTCTTTCTTTAGTTTACCTGAATGCCGAGTCGAAGATCTGCTCGATTTTGTCGCACATCGTTGACGCTCTTTTGCTGTAAGTCATTTCTAAAAATCTTTACTAAGCAAATCTACCGTTTCTTTCATTTCTATCATCACTTTTCGCAATTTTCTTAATGTGATCAGATCGATAAGTGCTGCAAAGACTGAGGCACCAGAAAGTACCCACCAACTATCGTCGAAAATCCGATCTGAACCAAAGGTTTGCAAAATTAACAAATACCAATTCCAAGCGTCTCTGAGACGTTTTACTCTTACGCTTTACGTTTTTAAATCCAATCACTCACCAAACCAATTACCGAAGGGCAAGCGACGGAAAATATAAAGACTTGTATCGTATATAAATGCACTAAACGTGTACAAATTTGCGTAGACCTTTCCAACTAAAAATCGATTGCAAAACAAAAACTAAATAAGGCAGACTTTGCCCAATCAACGATCCGTAAGCAAAGACGGGTATGAGAAAGAGTATCACCGGCTGGATTTGATAACCCTTTGAGAATATTTCGAAATATCGACCATCAAAGTGAAGCGCGAAGAACCTGAATTGGTTGTAAAACGTGAAGAGTTGGTTGAGGGCCTGCTGATAGTGATCAAATGTTCAAGACATTGGCAAGTGACAGCTGTGCCTAGATAGAAAGTGCTGAGAATCTGGTTGAGCATGGCTCCACTCCATGGATAATTGGCCATCGAGAGACAATGAGGCTTCAAAGGAGGCTCATCCCAGAAGAGAGCTGGAGCTGTCCATCTAAAGTATGTTTGCCATAACTGTGCTGATCAATAGCCACAGAATTTTTGTTAGGCAACTGAAAATGGCTGATAGTGGGCTGGATAGTTCAAAAATTTGTCGAGAATGAGTCTGATAGTGACCGATTCTTTCTCTAATAACAAGCCAGCTACAGATCCAGAGTAAGACTCCTGGAAGGCTCATGCCTGTCAGTAAATGATGTCTGTCTGATGGCACAGAATAGCCCGGTCAGAACACAGACTCACAATCAGAACCAAGAAACTAAAATAGCTTTCAAAATCCTAAGCCTAATTGTATTGTAAAACGATTGCGGGACATTTGATACGCGCCCCGCCTCTTTTGCCATTGGCGATCTTACTTCGAGCTCAATCTTGGTGTTGGGCTGTCCAATTTCACTAGTTTTTGTACGAATCGACAGCGAAAGGCTTGGCGCATCTAATGATACCAAGAATATTGAAATTGAACAGCCCAACTTCAAGAAATTTGAGCTCAAAGTTAGATTGCCAATGGCAAAGAAGGCGGAGCCGATAACCTTGTAAATCAACCACAACTTACTTCAAAATACAACTCGCAAAGTAAACATCGAGTAGCCCTCGGACAGCTCGCAACGCGGTATTCCATAAAAGATTCACTTTCACATTCGCACCCATTCTCGTGCTTCGATAAACAACGCAGAAAGCCCACAAGTTAGCCGTGCAGATAGCTTGTCCTAACTAAATAGATCAATCATATATCATGACTTATACCCTTACAACAATGGCACAAAAAGCGACATATGTATCGTCATCAGAATCTGTATGACAAACTCGGTCTTGGCATGTAAAGTAGGCAAACTGATAGAGGGTTTTATTTGAACCCGGAGGCATTTTTGGAGGATCATCCATATTGTAAACGCAGTCCACATCAATGACTATACCAAATTTGCTCATCTAAAGATTGGTGTACAAGTAAAACCGATTAAAACAATCTATTCAGCTTATAATCCGTAACAAGAAGAATATGATAAAACATAAAAGGTATCTTTCTAACGTTATGAAAAGAATCTGAGCAAAGTAAAGTTGTAAAATAGAAAGAGAACTGGTTCTACTCAAATTGAACAAAAACCAAAATGGCCTTTGAGAAATAAAAGGCGAAACAGTAAAGGTAATAATTTATATACTTTGCCCCATAATTTGAAACAAAGTACCAAACGGTAATTGCCAGAACCCTTCTTGAAAAAATTGAGGAAATAGCAAGATTGATTTTTACTTCCGTTCCTAATAATGAGTAGTGCTCATGTTTGAAAATCGAAAGTTCAACTTTATAGCAAACTTTAAGACTGTAGAACTGTAATATTAACCCGATTTTCTTTGTAGTAGCTTCTATTCAATGAACAGATCAGTTAAGCTTTAACTTTTTGTCGGTATTATAAACCATCTTTCCGCCAAACCAAATCATGCAAGCGTGTCCCGGATCTCCAAATTTCCAGACAATTCAAAGTCCTCTAAACTTTTTGATGAGACCTCAAGAGCCGCTTTGAAACAACGATTTTTCTAAAAGTATGAGTTTAACCTGGTTTGACTAGATATAAACTTTAAAACAATCCTTAGAACTTAAACAAATCTGCAAAGGAAAAATTGGAGAGATAGGATTAGCACTGACCTACAGAAACAAGCTCTACATAAACATCTTCCAAGACATTCTCATCTTCGGTTAAATCATCGCAAGTCTGCTTGAAATGCTCGACCATCCATTCTTTGTACAACTTATAATTGTCTTTAGCAAAGTCATAGAGAGTCGTGAGATGGATCTGAAATTGGAATGAAAAGCCAGTGTCAAAACAAAACCTGAAAAAGTTATAGAATAAATAAAGTCTCCTTTACTTACCAAACAATAGTGAAAAAAGGTGGGCTGTCCGGTTCAGAATCTTCATTTCCGCGCTCTGTACTTTTGCTTCAAATCCTACATTCTGTTAAACTAAAGCCAGCCGAGACACTCAAGGTTGAAAATGATCTGAAAGCTGATTTCAAAGCCTTTGAAACTTCACAAACTACCCGCTCTGTAAGCTTAATTGCAAGCACAAGTTATTATCAGATTAAAATTTTGTAGCGTTCTTGTGCACCCACTTTTGTTTTGCTCTGTTCACGCATGTTTTTTGAACTTTGACGGTGAACTATCCGTTCACCGCCAAAACTTCAATAAAAAGGCATTCGGTTGAATTCAAAGCTGAAAATAACAAGCCCCAACTGAACGAACAATTTAAAAGCTAGCTGAAATATTCAATTTTGCTTTTTTCTGTATCCAGTACTTTCAAAATCGATCCAGAAATTTGCGGTCAATCCCATGAATATAAAACGAAATCGTGATGACAATTTTTGATTATCAAATTCCGCAAATGATTTTGATTCTACTTTTTTGTGGAGGCAAGTTTTTTACCCAATAGCTAAACTCATTTTTAAGTGAAATCACTCGTGGATGCGGCCACTTGTTATGATTGTGTCTATGGCTTCAAACCCTGTGATAGCTGCCAGAACATAACCACTAGTTTGTTTGAAGAAGAAATATGATTTGGATTGAATTATATTTCTGAATCTGAAAACGGATCGAATTGAATGCTAAACAACAAACGCATGCTTTTCAGACGACGACCTTCACGGAATTTGGTCCGATTGGTCGGATTACACAGCTTGTAGCCATACCTGTGGCCTCTACGGGAAGAAGGTTCAGCGAAGAACGTGTGCTTCTTGGTCTTATGGATGTCCGTGCACGTGGGTTTTTTTGGGTTTACAATGTTTTTCAGCTGTTCATATTTGAAACTTATGGTTGTTTCAGCTTTGTTTCCAAAAATAGAATTCAATGCCATAACTTCAGTGGAGCCTACTCCGCGTTGTCCCCTGTCCAATTGGCCCTCTTTGCACAAAAGGCTTCGCTTGCAATCCGCCCTGGAAATCGGTTCGAAAATGTTCTTTCATTTGTTTAGTTCTTTTTAGTACACTGAGACCACGTGTATTCACGTGGATCTTTGTACTTCACGAACTCTTTGTGGACCTGTTACACGAGATGACGATTATGCTGAACCGTATCCATGTCGCGGCGTGAGGGGTTTGTTTATAAGATCATATAACTGATAGATATGAGCCCCCTAACTAGTGAAAGAGATTGATTTTAGAGATCCAAAGCTGCAATCCATGCCCAGTTGAAGGTTGGTTGTTCACTTAATATCTTCAAATATCAATATTTAGGTGTTTGGTCAGCTTGGTCCAACGTCGGAAAATGTTCGGCGACGTGTGGTCTTTGCGGAGTGGTTTATCAGAATAGAACGTGTGAATCAGCGAGCTACGGATGTCCTTGCACGTGCGCTTAAATATCAAAATGTTGATCAAAAGCCTACAGTTCTTCTTTTAATAAAATGATTTCAGTGGCCCAATCAGTCAACACTACGCTTGTCCCAAGAAGCCTTGCCCGAAGGCGCCGCGCTGCTGTGGACAAGCACCGAATAATGTTGTGGTAATCGTTTTGGATTTGGATTTTCATCTATCTAGACCCTTGTGCTATGGCATTCAAATTTTGCAATCAAATTGCTTAGGTGAAAAACCTGGTGACAAAGACGAACCAATGTGGCCTACAACTAGCACCCGACGAGGTTCTCCATCCCATTCACACCTATCACCCCGTCATTTGTCCATAAAATTTGTTTCCTTGTTATACATACCATTGCTTAACTGATTAAGCCTGTTCACAGCAGAATTGGCCTGAAAGATTAAATTGTTCATTGAGCTAACTGCATTCTACTTTTCAACGTCCGAATCCTAAGACAATCGGCGGTTTTTGTTTATGAATTAGCTTGCTGGGTCAAATCTGGGATTGCGTCCATCCTGAAAAGTTCTGAGATGATTGAAAATTTTCAAAACTACTAACTTCCTCTCTTTTGTCGAGCAGAAATGATTTCATCCCCTCCATTTCTCTTCATAAAATTGATCGTGACATCTTGACCTATTGACCGTCTCTCCTAGATGGCTAAACATCTCGAACACATCGTATGCCTTTTTGAATGGATCAGCTCCCCGTTTTGATCCAACATCAGCCGCGTGTATCTTTTCCAATCCGAACTTTACATCGCCCCTTAGCAGAGGAAATTGCTAATAAATGTTTGCTTTTGGTGAAATTTAAACTGAAATTTATTTTGAAAAATTTTCCTAAACAAATAGTAACGATAACAAAGATAGCACAACGATAGCCAAAGTCTCAATAGATAGATCAAGAGATCGGAAATTAATAACACGTCAGAGTAATAGAAATAACCCGAAATAAAGCAAGAATACGATAATTTACTAAGAATCTGCTTCAGCATTCTGCTTGGTCTGCTGCTTTTGGGTGAGTTCGAAATAGGAGCCACGCTGAGCCATCAACTCTTCGTGACTACCTGAAAAGACAGTAGTTCAGTTTATCCATAAAAACCTTGATAAACAACTTCAATAACTGATTTTTCCAACATTTTTCATTACCTTGTTCAATCACTGTTCCCCCGCTGACCACCAAGATACGATTCGCTTTCACAATTGTTGATAATCTGTGAGCGATCACAATACAAGTTCGACCCTCCGAAGCCTTATCCAATGCTTCTTGAACTAACTGAAAATGGATTGAATTGCAAAATTAGGCAAACATGTGTACTTTGTACTCTTTTTACTTTGACTTCATATAACTCTTACCTTTTCACTCTCAGTATCCAGGGCACTTGTTGCTTCATCAAGTAGGAGAATCTTCGGATTCCTGATAAGCGCTCTTGCAATGGCAACTCGTTGCTTTTGACCTAAAAGTCGTGATTCACTTTTGCAGGAATTCTTTTTACCTCCAGAAAGCTGAGTTCCTTTATCACCGACTCGAGTTTCATAACCATCTGGCAGTTCACTAATGAACCTAAACAACATTATTTTTAAATCAATTGATATAAATACTTGTGAATGTTAGCTTTTCGAGCAGCTTCCACAATTTCTGTGTCAGGAATGGAATCTTTTGGAAGTCCGTAGACAATATTTTCCTAAACAATAAGATCATTGTTTGTACAAATTAACAAACCTTGATCGAGCAATCGAAAAGAATCGGTTCTTGAGAGACGAGAGCCATGTGTTTTCGGAGATGAAGGGGATTCAGTTGGCGGATGTCTTCATTGTCAACTTCCTGGAATTGAGAAATGAAAGAATTTGCTAAAATTCGGTTCTCTATTAAATAAGTTCTAGCATTTCTCCATTCTTCAAGTTCTCACCAAAGTTCCCATCGTCGGATCGTAGAAACGCTCTAACAGTTGAACCACGGTACTCTTCCCGCATCCTGATGAACCAACCAAAGCAAGCGTTTCACCGGGATTCACTTTCAGGGAAAGGCCTGAAGTTTTTGTTTTTAAAAATCTTGATCGTACCAACCTTTCAACACTTGAACCTCCGGTCGCTGAGGATAGCAAAAATGAACGTCTTTCAGCACAATTGCTCCGCTTATTGGCTAAATTCATATCTTTTACTGGTTTCAAACTTTGGCTTACTGTCATTTTTCCTCCAGTGCTGAGATTATCAATTTGTGGCTTTTCTTCGAGCATTTTGAAAATTAGACCGGCTGCGAATTTGGCTTTTGCGTACTCGGGAAAATACGCGGATGCTAAACCGATCGAAGAGGATGAGAACTGGATGGCCATCATCACTCTGAATGCGATTGGTTTAACTTTGGCTTTTGTTAGTTTCACATTGCTGGCTTAAAAATATTCAACGGCATGTTCTATTCTACAGTCAAGATAAAGATTGTTGAGCTTTTCACCTCATGACACTAATCGGATTTGACACATGCTCCTCCATGATCAACCAGCCTCCAAAACCGAACTCAGCGGCGAAAATGAAGAACATCAATGAGTTAGCAAGTGCGGAAACCATTCCCTTTAACAAATTTTGATTCATTTCTCAAGTTCTTTTTTACCTGCATAATAGCTCGATTCGTGCTTGTTCTGTGTGGTCCGTCAAGGAAAGCGCAGAAATTCTTGTGCAGAACTTTTTCCAACGTTAGCGCTTGCACGGTTCTAATGTTCTCTACGGCTTCCATTGCGATCTAGAAATTCTCCCTAATATAATAAATTCGCGAATTTCCAACTTTTCCAGATGCTTCAAGATCCTTTGCAAGAGAGGCATTCTTGTTCTGGAACATTCGCATGTGAAGCGTTTGACCAACACCAAGAATTGGCATTAGGGCAAGCACTGAAAGTTCAACTTTATTTGTTTAGAAAGTGACCCAACTTGCTAACGCCATTTGCCATCCGTAGTAAAAAGCTATCACAATTCCAACGATAAGTGAGACAGCAGCATTAAAAACCGAACCCAAGCGGTAATCAATGGCCTGAATTAAAGTTTATTAATGGATTACTGTAGAAAACTAACGCTATCAAAAGATCTGTTTACTACATTTGACTATTCTGACGCCATTAAAGCTGTAGTCAGCTTGAACCAAACTACAGGATCTTTAACTGAAAGTGACTGTAGTCCAATTAAAGCTTTCAGATTGTTTCCAGATTGAACTGGACTACGGTACTTTAGCTAGTATCATACTATAAGCCAGTCAAAGGTACCATAGTCCAATTAAAGGTACTGTGGTCAAGTTAAAGGTGAAGTTACAGGTGCTCATAGGTTGAGTACTAAATCCGGTACCCTTCATTTCGTTAACTTAATGAACGAGTCTCAAACTACCAAGTACCAAACAATTTCTTTCATTATAAACGTTTAACGTTTACTTTTTGTCATTTTAAAAAATTTTTTAGTATTTTAGAATAATCTGCGAGAACGAAAACAAGTATTTTAAAAATATTGAGAAAACCGCTAAACGGATTATTCTGAAATTTTGGTTGTAACTTTTTGTGCGCTATCTTTTTTTATTATGTCATCAAAATAGGTTTAATTGGAAGAAACGGCTCAAATCGCATCATTGGACCTTGTCATTTTTGAACATTCGGCTTCTTTCTAATGAAAAATCTTCAAAACAAAGCCTTTCAGAAATTTCCAAAAGTCATTTGCAAGAGAAATGATTTGGCTATCTAACCAACACACCGTATTTCATTTGATAGCTTGAGACTTATTCAATTAGAAAATGAATTTGGGTAAAAGACTTACAAAAACTTGCTAGTACTCAACCTAATATATCCCAGTCTCCTACCAAATTTCAGCACCTTCTGAACTTCTGAGCTGATTGTATTATAGATAAATCACTAACCGCTTTCACATTCGGCGCATCAGTTGCCAATCTAGTGGATATCTTGCCGGCATCGTGAAGTGGATGATCGAAATAGGCTCCATCTTGTCGAACAACATTTCGAAACACTTTTGATCGAAGCCTCATTGTGAGCCGTTCAGCGGCAATCCCATAGAAAGTAGCTTGCAGAAGCATTGTTGTTCCCTGAATTGCTGCCAAAACAAGAAATCCCAATGACCACAGATGTCCTTGTTCACGCATCTTCTCCCGGTCTGGCTCAGCGAATACCTGAAAGGGTTTTTAAACGATTAGACTCTTTTGATACCTGCATAAGCTGAGTAAAGAATAGGGAAAAGACTGGGAAAACGGCTCCTTGGATGAGGCAAGCAAATGTTCCGACCAACAACAGCCACCACTCCGGACGAGCGTATTTGAGAATTTTGAAGAGACTTTGTTCTTGAGCTCCTTCTTCTTGTGTTTCTCTCTTCAATCTCTCGATGTCTGATTCTTTTTTCTCCATTTTCTTTTCTGTCTCTTCTTCGAACTCCAAATTGTCACTTTTGACTGTCGATCCACGGGAGAATTGTCTTGAGATTTGACGTGAAGCTCGTCGCGGTGACGCCACTTTTCCTCCTGAAAAGTAAGATTATTGATTACCATAAGAATCCACGAGTTTAAACTGTGCTTAGCGTCAGAAACCAGTAAAGTTCGAGTTTTTCTATTTCCATTCCCAACCTTTCTCTTCGACGTCAGCGAAGACTTGAGCATTGACGAGTTCATGGTACAATCCCTTCTTGGCCAACAATACATCATGAGTTCCCACTTCAATCACTTGTCCATCTTTTAGAGCAATAATTTTGTCGGCATTTCGAACAGTCGACAATCTATGTGCGATGACAATCGTGGTGCGACCAATCGACGCATTTTCAAGCGCTTTTTGCACCAAGTTTTCACTTTCAGCATCTAGAGCTGAGGTGGCTTCATCGAGGAGAAGAATTCGGGGATCTCTGAAAAGTGTTTAACTTTTAAATTCAGTACTCAAATCTCAACCTTACTTCAGTTTCTTATCGTTTTCTGAAATTGCAATACTACCTTAACAGAGCTCTCGCAATGGCGATTCGCTGCTTTTGCCCGCCAGACATTTGAGAGCCTCGATCACCAACTATTGTATTTAAGCCCTGAAAATGATCAGAGCTTTGAATGCGAATTTTGAAACTTTCTTACTTGTGGAAAAGAGTTGATAAAGTTCAGAGCGTTGGCCTTTCGCAGCGCCTCCTGAATATCGGCATCCGTTGCTTCTGGGTTACCGTAGCGAAGATTCTAAAAAAGTTACCGATTGTCAAGTAAATTCTTCAAATGGACAATTACTCTATTTATCCAACCGTTTACCTCAATAATTGTGGTGTTGAAAAGAATAGGCTCCTGGCTAACCACTGCGATCATTCTCCTAGCAAATTCGATGTTTAACTCTTCCAGTGGCACTCCATCAATTGTAATCTGCAATTTGGATATATTAATCTAGAAGTTAGATACATATAATCTAGATACATTTGAAGATACCAGAAAATTTTTAGTTTTCGAAAAACGCTCGAACAGGGAACCCCTTCCCTTTAATTCTCTGTAAAATAGGTCCATGGAGGCTGAGATTGAAAAAGGGTGACGAATCGACGCGCTAGACTTTCAGATATAAGTAAGATATTCAACTAACCTTTCCACTGTTCGGATTGTAGTAGCGAAGCAAGAGCTGAACGATTGTTGACTTTCCGCATCCCGAAGACCCAACCAGAGCCACCGTTTCACCAGGCTGACAAGTCAAAGAAATTCCCTGCAAAAATATTTCGAGATAATCTAAAACCAAGTAAAGTTCATAGTTTACCTTCAATATTGGCACATCTTTTCTCGTTGGATAGGTGAAGTGCAGGTTCTCGATTTTCACCTCTCCTTTCACGACATCCAACTTTTTACCCTCTGTTGAATAAGAGTCGATTTCTGGTTCCTAAAATGCTCTATGGCTTTAGTTTTGATTTAAAAATGTATTCTAGAACATTAGTTTGAAACCTACACGATCGATGATCTGAATGATAACACCAGCAGCTCCGAGGGCTACTCCAAAGACAGCAAACTGTTGCTAAATAAACAAATTTGAAAAACGCAAGAAAAAACAAATAAACCCCTGCTTGGCCCATCGCCATTGATCCCATCATCACTGAGAAGAACACCTAAATCTTTGAAATTTTCGAAAACTTTAATATTTTACCGTTAAAACAGTCGATGAACTGGCCATTCCCCAATAAATATAATCGGTTCCAACCCAGAACGCCAAGCAGTATGAGGAGAAGAGAACGACAAAAGTGATGGTCAGTCCAACACCGATGTACACCGATTTCTTGTATCCATCGCGTTTTCCGGCTTCTAGAGCATTGTCGTATTTCTTGCATTCACCTTCTTGACCATTGAAGGCAAAAACGGTTCGGATTGAGGTAAGAACTTCTTCAGCGATTTGTCCCGCCACTGAGTATTTCTTGATCTCTTCAGCTGTTGCTGAGGCCATGAGCTAAAAGATACTGTTATTTTAACAAGCTGTCAAGAAATATTTGACCTCTTGAAGTTCAAACCAAGGCTAATGGTACGGTTTTTCAGCTCTGTATCCCTTTTCTAGTGCTTTCAATTCACATCCAGAATTTACCTTGGCCATGAAAGCTCCACAAATGATGAGAACCGGTGAGAGTGACATCATGATCAAAGTCAATTTCCAATTATACGTCATGGCTATCGCCAAGCCACCAAAGAACTAAAAGCTTTTGAGTCTGAACATCTGCTACTTTGTGACTCACTTGAGCTGTGAATTGCACCATTAAACCCATTTTGTCCCCAAGACCCTCACGAACACGTTCCATGGAACTAAAGTTGTAAAAATTGATAAGTAGTTTTCATATTACCTAAATTATTAATAAACATTTTTTCCTTTAGCTCTATAAGATGTTCAAGTCTTACTCGAAGAGTTTTGTAGCCAAAGTGCCCGATTGGTTTCGATCAAACCATGAGATATCCTGTCGCATGACTGCCTAAAATTTTATGAATTAAAAAACCAAGAAATGAAAAAAACCTTGAAGAAAGCTCTCCTCATTCGATTTGTGATGTTCTCACAAGTGACCATAAAACAAGTGACCTGAAATATTCATTTAAATTAGCAAAGCTTTTTATTACTAGGTAAGTCGGGTACCTTATACAACGATTTAATGTTTTGCTTTAGCGTTGATGCTTATTTTTATTTTTATGTATCAATGTGGAAACAATAAAAGATCACTTCTCGCCATATCTTTTTGAATCCATGTTCAGAAGAGCTACTGGAAAGAAACAAGTTTTTCAATATTTGTTGGTGAGAATGGAAGCCGCCTATCCGTTACCAGAATTAACTTATCAAAAACAAAAAAGTAATAAAAGCCTTAAAACTAAAAGGGAAAAAATGTAAATGCTAAAAGTTTGCGTGTGAACCGCTGTATAAGGTACCCGATTTTTTTAAGGTGCCTAGTAATAGGAAAGAGCCAAAGCTATTACCTAGACATTAATTAGATTTGTTAGAATCAGGTCTGTTCAACAACTCACTTGAATGAACGACGAAAGCATCAGAACGACACCAACTGCTGCATATTTGATGCAAGCCTAAAAGTAACTTGTATTTGGACAGTTTAAGCTGGAATCCATTTTTGATTAGACTATTTTCTTTACCTTGATAATATCGCTTTTGAAAATTTCCCTCGCCGCCATCCAATCGCTTTCACTGGCCAACCCAAGGAAATGGAGCACTAAACTTTTGCACTACAAAGAAATTTCTCGGTTCCTTACATCTTGCCGTTTCCAAGTTGATGAACGTTTCAGAGGCATCACTAAAATTTTCATTGAAATGTTAGTTTTGATAAGAGTACCCGATGATAATGGAGAGAAAAGGGAATCCGAGACCGGTGATGACTGCCACGAGACATCCCAATATCACCATAAAAATGTCCAAAGTGCTCGCATAGCGATACTAAATAAAAAGTTCAGCTTAAGGTTTTGATAAATTTCAGTAATCAACTTATTATCTGTTACAATATGCCGAACTGCGGCAGAGCAATTGTCAATTTTTTCAAAATAAACTGGAAACACTCGGTCAAAAGCCTGATTTCTGATTCTTCTTATTACTCTAGGAAACCGTAGTCAAGTGAAATTCTTTGGATTTTGTACCTATCGCTAAAATATTGACAATCTAAATCTTTACCAATTGTGTCAACGATGCCCTCTGCGCTTGAAGATCCGGCGATTCTTCGACTTTCTCACCATTCCTGAAATGTTTTGCTTTAAACGAATCAAATGAAAAATAAATTCCTCAGTTTCTGCATATTTTTTCAATTGAAAAACAAAATTTACCCCTGTTTCTCTTTCTCTTTTATTTGCAAAAGCGGCAAAGATGATGACTCAGGCGGATTTTTCGGTTTTCGATTCAAGCCCATTTTTGAGAAGTCACGCTTTCTTTGAAAAGTGTAACCTAAAATTAGAACAAATAAGCGAAAATGAATTCAAGTTAAAACCAAAAATCTGAAAGTTTCACGGAAAACGAGAAGGGTTTCCATGGGAATGGCTCGCTATTTTGGAGGCAATGTAAAGGATTGAATGTCGATGAAAACTAATCTTCTCAATTGAAGCCTGTTATTAAATTCGATTAGCCGCAAAATGAAGAAAACAAAATCTAAGTTTGGGCTTCATTTCAGTTTGAATCCAGCCAGATTTTGTTAGCCAGGACTTGATTTACGTTTTTTTAATTTCGAATTTTGCTTAAGTACAAGTTTTTGAAGAATGTGAAAATTAAAAACGAGTTTTGCTATTGATAAAAGAAAAAGGAGAACAGAGGTTAATAGCCACTTAACCTTGCCCAATACCTTTTTACTCTCCAAGCCTTTTTCTAAAGTAATTAGACACCAAGCCCAAGACAATAGAGTAGAAGGCAGCCGAGAGAAATGAAACAAAAACATTTTTAAAATTTAAACGGGAAACATAGGCGGAACAATGTAACGGGAAGGGAATATGGGGAGACAGGTAATCTTAAAACACGCCACAAAAAGGCGAATACATTTTACAGAAGGGGGAAGAAAACTTACACGGGACTGGGCATAAAAAATCGGACAACATTCACGACTCCACAAGGGAATCGCGGAAAAAAATGAAAAGAACAGAAAAAGGGAATTTTTGTGCGGGATACGGTAGCGCATCCATGCTTTAGGAAGCGCGCCAGTTTCTTAAAACCGCACGTCAATAGGAATCTAACTCAGACAGCAATAATAGCTATTACATTTGATATTTCAACTTTATAAGAATTTAAAGCCAGCTAAAAGTTTTCGAAAAATGCTGACAATTTCTAGAGAAAAGATTGAATGAAATTCAAAGAGCCCATTCCGATGACTTATGCGTCATCGATCGTCGTGTCGAAAAGGGGAAATGGCTGGAAAAGAGGCTGCGTTTTTTTTCGTTTGTTTGTGAGGACTAAAAGAGGCACCCCCTCCCTCACTTCTTTCCAGCTGGCCCTTTCAAAAAGAGAAAAATATTGAGAAGTCTAGAGAGAAAATGAGAAAAATTTTCCCGCAAAAGGATCCTCGATATATACGAAACACTTGTTGAAAAGAAAACAAGTAACAACAAGTGAATGGTGGTGAATGGATGAGGTAAAAGCCGTTTGTTCGAGGAATGGACGCAAGATTTTGAATAGAAATGCTTTAGGGGGTTGACAGTTACCGAAAATTATCTTTTTGAGTAGTTTTCAACTTGATAAAAATTAACTTAGACAACGATCGACTTGATAACCTAAACAACTTAGACAACTTGATATCAAGTATGAAGTATGAACCATTCATGGTGTATAATGCTTTACGAGCCAACGCCAAAAAGTCAGGTCAGGCAAGGCAGAACAAGATCCGAGGCCAGGTCCAAGACTAGCTTCTGGCGTTTCAAAAGACATTTTGGAGAAGGCTTGTACTGGAGCTAGGTATACAAAGCCTAGAACCTGCTGGTCTTGGTTTCGGGTTAATGGCGTTTAGAATAGCGCTGCCTTGACAATGTATTAGTCATTTGTTCCCATTGAGTGGTAATTTTGAATTTTAATTGTTCCTAACTAGGAATCCTAAAAAAACCATTAAAACTTAAACTTAAACGTTAAACTGTTTTCAAGGCTAATAGAAAGATATTAGACTACGAAAAAATACTGACTTGTTAGATAAATCGAGCTTGTGAATCTATATAAGAGATCTTTACATCATGAAATTGCTGCCCAAAATATGCTGAAAGCATCGTAATGATGCTTTTTGTTCACCTCGGAAACTATTATATAAACACAAGTGTATCAAAAGAGAAAAATAAGAGAAACCATTAAAATTTCAAAATCGTTTCGAAACTAACGAAGATTAGTTCTTTTTGAGCTAAGTGTGTGTGTGTGTGTTTTTTGCAGTCTAGCATCCCCTTTTCACACGGCACAACTCGTCTCTCACCTCTCTTTATCCAGCTGTCCCTAAACGATGAAAGAACACTGAATGGAAAGATTTCGAAACACATTTCATGGGATGTTGCATCATAAATATTCGTTTACATATGGTCAAAGATTAGTTTTTCTTTATCTAACGATAATTGCTCAGAAACGTCTTGAAAAATGGCTTGAAAAATGAAAGTGATGTAGAGTACTGAAGCCAAGACACTCGTGGATAGGCGAACCAGAATTTAGTGTTTTTTGTCAACGTACGTTTGTTAATTGCTAAATCCAGCATACTTGGGTTTTTTTTGACACTTATAGAGCTTATAATTTTAAGCCACGACTATACTTTAATTGACTATTGTAATTGTACATCTTACCACCTTTAAAATGTAGCAGTTTGACAAAACAACACTCTGTCTTTAGTTTTCTAAAACCTTCGGCCAAAGTTATGCTTTTGTTCGATTCCTATTGTAGGTAATTTTCTAAATTTTGATCAAAAGACACATTTGTATCCATTTTTGTGGAAACGTTGCTTGTAAAGAACGTATTGGAGTCTTGAAATCCAGAGAAAAGAATAGAGTCGCTTTCAAAAGTCGAATCGTTTTAGAAAAGCTCTATTTGAATTGAGCTAGTACTATCAAACTGTTCGCTTCGTACACATTTAAGTTTTACACCCACACTTGCATTTAACCCCTTATAAAGCTCTCCACTCAACATCGCAAAACAAATTCTCTCCGTGATCTCAAAAAATTTTTGTAGTTGTTACTTGTTCTATTCATACATTGATTTGTGCCTTCATTTTTGCTATCCTCTAATTACGGATTCTCTTGTGAGAATAGTTAATTTTCGAAAAGCTCATTAACTCTAACACCTGTTCGAAGATTAACAAAAAAAGACTTGCATTCGAATTCCCCACAGACTTTAATTAGCCGCGTGATTGCTGAGCAAAAAGTTTTGTGGGTTCAAGAAATATTTTCTATTTATTTTCAGTCGATGAATAGTTCTAATCAGCTTACGTCGAATTCGACGAATCTTCACAACTATTTTTTTATTGCTAGCATTGTCGAGGCTTCTTTGATTGCAATAGTTGAGTTCTGTGACATTGAATTATTTAATTTCTATTTAGATTGGCTTTTTGGGAGTTACTTTTGGTATCATTGGGTTATTTATTGTGCGGAGGAACTCGTTTTTGAAAGGTAAAGAAATTTTTCGACAAGACAAGTAAAACTTCTTTTGTTACGTATTGATTTTGACCTTTGTGACACTTTAGTTCATTATTTCTTGTGATAAACACTATAAGCAAGATCTGAGCGATCATTTTGACTGATTTTAAGTCAGTCATTTAGCAAACATGACTGCCGTAGCAAAATTTGACTGTCTGAGACTTTGAAATCTCTTTTGCATCAAAGGATAGGGTTCAGAAGGTTAATCGGGTGATAAAAAGTTTAGCATTAACCTCGTTATGTGTTGAATTCTCTAGCGCAAAACATTTTAATCAAACAATAAAAGCAAACTTTCCCAAACCTTTTCAGGTATCACCGGCCTCTATGCATCACTCGATCTCATCAACACTATCATTATCAACGCATGTCATTTGTTATGGGGAGTCCCGTGCGCACTTTGGTAGATTTTCTTGGATTCTACCAGGCTCCAGCTTTGATTAAAATTAAGATTTACCTTTTGTTTAAGAAGAACTCTTACAGGAGTATCAGTGATTCATTGCCGTTTTTGAATTATTTCTTCGGAAATCTCATCTTTACTTCTGTCGCTCTCGGTTTTTTGCCAAAGGTAGTGCAATTGAACTATAATTACAAATTAAATTCTAGGTTTACTTGGGACTCAGTCGTTTTGTCGTATTGGCTTTTAATGGGAAATACTCGGAAAGATTCGAGCGGACGCGCCGTTTCCAATATGCTTCAATGGTCATCTACCCATTGTGCATCGCCATTTTATACTCACTTCGTTAGTTACATTCTGACTTTTCGGGTTTAAACAAAACTAACAAGGGAAAGGCACCGAGTCAAGCTGGCCTTTTAGCTCGAGACCAAGTTCATCTTATAGAATCGGCCATGGGGATCTCGAATCCGTTTTTAATTTCTGCAAAATGCTTCACAATCGCGAGATATCTGGCATAGAAAATCACCTTGAATTTCGAACTCCTTGTGGGGCCCTCACAACTGCTTCGATGGTCTAATGGATAATCTGCTAGACTACCGAGACATTTTTTTTGCTACCGAGAAATTTAGCATTTTTGCTCTCCAAGTTCGAGTCCCACTATCGCCCAACTTTCTTGCTTTTTTAAAAAACTGTTTCCTTACATATTTGCAATGAATAATAGAGTTGAATTTTATACACTGCTTTCTGTAGTTTTCAGAAATGTGGCAACAAATGTGAAATTTTTCAATACTTTTCTACTATTCTATTTCTAATCTTTTATACATTATTTATTGAAGTTACAGAAAGTGGTGCATAAAACTCGAATCAATAATTTAATTGAATGAAACAGGAAAAACAAAAGGCAATTTGCAGAAATACTCGCGAATTTAAGTCTCTATCTATCAATTGCATAAGCTATACAGTTTTCGAGTTAAAGTAAATGATCCCACTTTCGTCAAACTTGTTTTGCTTTTTTCAAAAATTCTTTTCTTACGTATTTACATTGAATTATTGACTCGAATTTTATACAAGGCTTCCGGTAACTTCAACAAATAATTTACAAAAGCTGGAATCTTCCAAAGTATCAGAATCAGTAGATAAATATTGAAAAATTTAACATTTCTTGTCGAATTCTGAAAGCTACAGGTGCATAAAATTCAATCCTATTATTCATTGCACATATTTAAGGAAATAGTTTTTTTAAAAAAGCAAAAAAAAGTTTGGCGATAGTGCGACTCGAACTCGGGAGCAAAAAACGTAGTAGTCTTGGTAGTCTAGCAGATTATCCATTAGACCATTGAGGCAGTTGTCAAGGGAGCGTGTGACGGCCACATAAAAACCTCGAAATTTAGATTCTGGGAAGCTTTCTGCAAAAACTAAAGACGGATTCGAGATCCCCATGGCCGACTCTATAAGATGGATTTGGCCTCGAGTCAAAAGACCAGCTTAACTCGGTGCCTTTCCCTTGTAAGAATATCTAATTTAGCTGGTTGTCATTGTGTTTTCTTGACCAAGAGCAAGAACTATTTTTGGACAGAAGGAGAGCAAGGATTGAGAGTTCTATTCTACGCACAGGTATCCAGTTAGATCAAACAATCCATCGTATCAGCTCACAGTTAACTATTCAAACCTAATTTTTTTTGATCACGTTTAAAATTAAATACCTTTTTAGCTCATGGTTAGCTATGTTTTCATGCCAATCACCACTTTCATTGATGCATCAATTTTTTGGATGGTGCGCAAAAAAGTTTTCCGAGCGGCGCGGCAACGAACGAGTCAACAAAAGACCGAACAATTGCGGAAAGAATATAGACTGGCTGCTCAGGTAAAGCAAAATATTGCTATCTCTAGAAATCTTTCAAACACATACTAGCCTAACTATAGAATTAGGTAAAGTGGCTGAACAAATGAGTACGGTAAGGACTGTGTAGAGGTATCGTGGGTGCTCGAGGTTCACCAAACCAGACCAGGGCCCGGTTTCACCCGGCCAATCAAGCTTTGCACAATGTTTTCTTTCGAAGTACCAAATTTTTGTAGTACTGTAGGGAGTGGGTGGCAATTTTGACTAGCTAAAAAAAGCTAAAAAAGAAAAATCAAAACATGGGCAATTAAGCCGGTGAAGGGCTTATCCCGCATCCGGGCAGTATGCCGGACTTTTTTCTACGAGCGACGTGAAAAGAACGCACACTTTTGAACGAACGCAATTGCCAGTCGATTTCACCAATTCCTATAATAATTTTTAGTTTGCTAGATTGGTGAAATCGGGCCCAGTTCTGAGGCTACGCTAGGTAGACATGGGCAAATTCCAAGCCGGACCAAATTCCACCTTCATTTTCTCGGCCGTTTCTTGGCTACTTGCTCTGCAATTTTGTCTACATGCTGAAAATGCCGCTTTCTATCTGTAAACAAAATTTCAGAGTAATCGACCAAGAATCGGCTAAGAAAACGAAGATGGAATTAGGTTCGGCTTGGAATTTTCCCACCTCTAGTAAATACCAAATCCAACCACAATTCTGATAAAGTTTTTTCTTTACCAGCTGCGTCTTTACCGCACGGATATTTTACCTAGAGGTACTAAGGGTACGTAGCACAAATCTGAGTACAGATTCGGATTCCTCGCCCCTGAAAACCCCCGAGTACAAATTTTCAGCTCTTTAGCTCACTTCGTTGTAGTTTTACGTTAACGTAATTTGTATTGTGGCGTAGGCGTGACAGACGGACGGACGGGCGTTTTATTTTTTTGTATATAGTAGATTATAATTTTCAGATGCTGGTCAACCTAGTCAACGGCATTCTTCTCAATGTATCCGTATTCATTTCGAAAGATTTCTATCTTGATCTAATTGCGGGTTTTATTGTAAACACGATGCTCTGGCAAATCTGCACGATGACTGTTTCGTAAGTGTTTTCAAAAGTTTCCGATTAGAATTCAATCTAGATTATCTTATGTCGTGTTTTTCAAAGAGAAACGATCAAAAGCTCTAGCAATTCCTTTATTTATTTTATGTCTTCAATAAAGAGCTCCAATTTGATCGGGTTCAGAAAATTTTGCAGAGAAAATATCAAAAATGGCCAACAGGTGTTCAGCCAATGAAAGATTGTTTTGCAATTTTTCCAAAATACTTTCTTATCTCTTTACTGTACAGATAAGATTATTTGCGGCTTTTACAATTTATTTTCAAAAAGAATCGTATTTTGTGAGTTTTATTTGCCTCAGAGTACAGTCAGCGTTGCTTCCGAAAACAGAACATGGCAATTAGACTAAAGAAGAAACACATTTTCTTTTCACTTCCGAGTTTTTCTAATAACAAATTAGCAGTTGCAAATACCTGGACAGTAAAGAAAAGCACAGATATTGAATAAATTCCTCGAATGCTAAGAGAAAAACTCCCGTAAGTGGGCCAAAGAAAAGTTGAGTGGGAAATTTGACAAATGTGAAGCCGATTGTATTTAAAAGGAGCATTCCACTGTTTGATAACATCTAAAAGTGATCAACCTGAAGTTTATAATGAACCTATGCTGTTAATGTGCTGTTTATGCCTCTTTGAACTTTTTTAAAATCAAGAGTTAACAAGAACTAATTGTAAGCATTCGACTTTACTATTTAGTCCATTACTATTGAGTCCATCACTATTTAGTCCATTATTATTTAGTCTATCAAGCCTATTTTCTTGTTTATCTTTTGCTTACCTGAATCATAAGCATCACTTCGGCGCGAGTGACCTTTCCCGTTTTGTTTAACTAAATATTTACGTTAGAAAGCTTGGCACACTTGGTCTTGCCATTACACATGATTACCAGAATACGAACGTGGCTTGTTTTTGGATAAACTGTATTCAGGCTATCGGTTTATCTATCAAGCTAAATAGTTGAACCCAAGCTTGAACGACTCGGCTTATGACTCATCACTATGTGAGTTTTGATTTCGGTATAATATCTAATGCCTCACTTTGTTCTTTTCACCCTTCTTACCTGTACCATTCTCTTCCTAGTCACAAAATCCAATCCACATGCGAAAAAATAGGGCAAATTGCTGATAGACTTTTGACCGATTGTACAGCTGATATTTTCACATTTTAATAGAGTATCCAATTTGATAAGCCCTAGCTCCAAGAAGTAGGGAAGCAAGAGTTGAGCGATAGGCCATTTCAGAGTTTTCCGGAAGTGAAGTCCATCAAAGGCTATCGCAAAGAAACGACTAAACTCACAGTAGTGAAAAGAATTTCAACAAAACCTGAATGAAATGATCATTTGATGATACTTAGCCACATTCATCAATGAGTATCCATGAATTAATGAATAAAGTGGATAGAAGAAACCGGTGGCGATTTCGGGAGGGCACCTTAGAATTATAATTAGAGTTTATCTAATCAAAAGCTATACTGTTGTTGGAACATGACTGAAGCTACTTTGGTAAACTTTACAAAGGCAAGGCTCTCACTTGAACAATGGCGCTTCGAGATTGCAGAACTGTTGCCAACAATAGTCGACGGCGAACAACGGCTTGCAGATGTTTTCAGCAGCAGCGGATAGACTAAAGAGCAACTTTAGCTTTGAGTTTGGGGTTAGTTCAAGTTAAGAATACATGTAACAAACCGAATTGGCCATGTTAACCGCTTGTTCGTCGCCGCGAAACAAGTCGCTACTGTAGTCGGGAAAACCGAGGCAAAAATGATCTGAATGAAGGTTTTGATATATTTTTTGTTTCAGAAAATACCCATTTTGTAACACTTTCGATGACAGAAATGAGTTCGAAAAGAAATTCAAGATCAAAGTCGGGTGGTGAGCTATCGGAGATGATTTTCCATTCAAGCAAGAGGTCGTAGATTGACCAGTTCAAATCCGCGATGAATGTCAGCAAAGCGTTGAGTCCTGTTTAAATGCTATTTGCTCACTTCAAGGAAGAAATATTGAGACTATTTATATTACTGATCCACAGCAAACACTCATATTACTTTAATGGAGAAGTCTGAATTAGGACCGATTCTCACTAGAACCAAATTGCCAGCAGGTGGTTGTAGTAATATAATTTTTGATGACATTTTCTGTAGAAACAAGAAGCTTCGCAAAAAAAATTTTCGAGCAAAAAGCAAAAGAATTGGGGGTGAGAGGAAGCGAACCCACAACCTATTTCTTCCGTTCATTTGAAAGACGTGGGCATTAGCCACTCGGTCAAGTTCTTTTGTAAATGTCACAGTGTGAGCGCACTTGTTCAGCCCACACGACCCAGGTTCGACTCCTGCCCGCGTCGGCACTTTTGATTTTTTTAAAAATTTAAAAACATATTGCACAACTAAATGAAATTCTAAACCAAACTAACTATAGATCATTGGAAACGGCCCACTGGGCGCGGAGGAATAGTGCACACTGACAGACGGACAGACAGTCCCTTTATATATAGTAGATAGATGAAGTAAATCGGTTTATCAATAATTTATCAGGTATTAAAAGATGAAATCAACTCTTTGCAGATCGTTTCAAGTTTAGTATTTCAATTGTGATTGATTTGGAGGGATGTAGAATTTGTAGCCTTGTCCTAGACGGAACCAACCCGAAAAAGCCATAACTTCCAAATTGCTTTCCAACATAACTACTCATTATTGAATGTACTTGATCTTTGAAGATTGCATGATCACATTTTTGCATGATTAAACATAAAATTACTGTGTTGTTTCTACTTTTGCGATCTGTGATGTTTAACGAGCTTTTGGACAACTGATGAATAGGTTGGTATTTTTGGCGGCCACAGTCTTCTGCAAAACGGATAATTAGCTTTCTGAGTCTACGAGAATTGCTTTTTGCAAATCGAAAAGCAACTGACAGGTCACAAGGCTGAGGTGGCCAAATGACATAAACCATATACCATACGATGCAGAACTTTACGCCGATTCCGATGCCGCTCTCCGTTTTTGCAAAATGATTTGGAAAAGCAAGGAATCTGGCAAACAAGCCTGAGGTAAAATTAGAGATCAGTCCCTATATAAGGCTTTTTTTACCATCTCGGTATGTGGGCTCGTGGTGTAGGGGATACGAATCTTGTTTTCGAAACAAGCTATTGAGTTTTCGCCTGGGTTCGATCCTTTTTAAGCCAGTTTACGATTTTTGATCAGATATCAATGTCAAAAAAGGAGAAAAGAATCTCCGTAGCGGATAAAGCTTGCGAAGAACAAAATCCCGACTCAAAATACAAGTTTTTTATTTAGCACAACCGGGATCAGAACTTAAAGCTTGCTTCCTGTAAAGATAATATAAAAACAGTAGATAAATAGATGTCCAAGATGCAACATATTAAATAAACAATGAACTCGTTCAGTTAAATAGAACGATCTGGTACGGCTATTACCCGGATGGACAAACATGCCGTCAACCAAAGTCCGATGACTGGGCTTGTGCACCAAAAGCAATAGTAAAGATTTGATTGGTTAAAATCGAATAAAAAAATAAGATCTATTTTAAATCTATCTATAATAAAATCTATTTTTGACCTATCTATAATCATCTATAATCTGGCCAAGCAACACTTTTTCATAAAAAACTTGTAAAGTTCATAAATTCAATTTTATGTTTAATAAAAAGCATCACACATTCGCCATTATTCTAAACGGATTTCTTGGAAAAGAAACAAAATAAATATCCAAATCTAAACGATGAGATCCAAATGTGTGTGTTCTTTTCAAAATTCATCTTTTACCACCGAGAAGATCTTTGTTTTCACATTGAGAAGGTTTGGCCGAGAAAATCATATAGCGTTCTATTTTTTTTTTCGTTCACATTCAAATAAATTATACTAGTCTACAGAAATTAAAAAAAAACTGCTTATAATGATTCCTTTCTTTTCCATTCTTTTCAAAATTCATCTTTTACCACCGAGAAGAGCTTTGTTTTAACATTGAGAAAGATTCAATCGAGAAAATCATATAGAAATTCTATTTTTCTATTTTTTTATCGTTCACATTCAAGTAAATTATCCTAATCTACAGAAATTAACAAAAACAAAAACTGCTCATAATGATTCGTTTTGGGTTTCCAATCAGACCAAATGCCAGTAATAATCCAACGGAGTCGCTTCGTATTGTTCGATACATGACTCGTGAATGAATGAATATTCACTCAAATGATGCCATGCACCATTGATCTCGTAGGAAAAGATTCGATAACTGAAAATCGCTTGACAATTACCGTAATCTTTCCATTATTGGAGAATAGGGCTGCGCTGTGCACAAAAATTTGCGTAGTCTCAAAGTTTTCCAGTATTTCATTTTTTTCAAAGTGTCCTTACTTTCAAAAATGCTTCTTTGGTATCAAAAAATGAATTTCAGCTATTTTTTGATACCTAAACGCGCATTGTAGCATAAACCAGTGTCGAGAAAAAGACGTTCAAAGCTAGACTATGCAACGTCAACGTGGGGAACTATGACGGTATTTATAGTATGCGTTTTTTGAACTCTTTTGAAACAATGATGAATTGATGGAGTTTTTCAATTTCAAAATGTTTTCTTTTGCTAATTGCAAAGACTTTTTACCCTTTCCTTGCCATTTCGGAAATCAGCTCGACGACTTTCTTCGGTTTACCGTGAATTTCGATTAGAATCTAAAAATTTCGTTTTATTTGGATCCAGGTGTACCATATGGAACCAAAAGTTTGGAAACAACGTCATTTTTGTGTCCAAATTGAGTGTTTTCGAGATTATAAGACTAAAAATAACGTTCTCTTTTTGATTAGTCACCTGACAGATATCGGCCACTGAAATCAATTCGGGAATCACGGAAAATTCGGAGCCTAAACGAGAAGAAAATTGTTGTCAACAAGTGAGAGCAAAAAGGTTAAGTTTCAGGTCAAAATTTCGAAATAAACTCAGCTAGCAAAATCCCCAAACCAACCCTCAATATCGATCTTCAAAATCTCGATTCTGTCGATGTTCAATCGTTTCATCTCTCCTTGAATGCTGCGAATGTTTTTCTGAATTTAACAGAAAGCTGGATCAAGTCAAGTAATTAAGTACAGTCAAATCTCGTTAGTGACTACCTCGATAGTGCGGTCACTTTTGGACCTTCATGAACGTCCGCCTTATAAATTACGTTAGAAAAAAACTCGATAGTGACCACCTCGTTAGTGGCCGGTTATTTCAGAACCCATAATGCAAAATTGGACTGTTTTAAACCTCGTTAGTGAACTATGGCAATTTGCATTGTACGCTTGAAAAAAATTTGCATATATGGAAAAAAATTGAATCAAAATACTCTCTAAAATACTTAGCCAATAAACTGGAAGGCAACTCTGTTATCGTCTCTAAATTTCCTCTCCCAATGACTCTCAATGTTTAGCTTATACCATTTTAGAACAGATTTAGTAGTGATTGATTTGGAATCACTGTGAAACTGGGGAGATTAGGTCTACTTTATTAGACGAGGAACTATTAGTGAACCCGTTAGAACTCTTGAAGGAAACCGAAAGTCGTTAGGTTTAGTCACTAATGAGGTTCTGTCTTTTTACCCAACCTCATTTTTCCATTGAAATTTACTGTTTAACATCTTCTAGACGTGCTTTTTGGTTAGAAATACTACTTTACTACGAAAAACATGTTTAAGAGTAAAATCTGAGTGTTTTTGGCGCTTTATAAGGCAAAATCTCTTTAGTGACCGGTTTTTCCGGGATCCCGTCTATAGGTCATTAACAGGGTTCGACTGTAGTACACATTCGCGACAAAGCCATTTTTTTGGGTTTGTCGCTAAAAATTTGTATCCCAACTTTGAGAGTATCGGCACAAAGTGTTTTAGAGCGTTTTAGAGATACTTGAGGGGAAAAACAATGCCGAATTCGGAGTCTCCATCTCCAAAAACCGCAAAGTGCCATTTTTAGATGATTTTGTCGAGAAACCGGGACTACCGAGAAAACCGTGCGACCCACCGGTGAGGCGCATTGTCGCGAATGTGTTAAATCTCCTGATTTTCAAGGCTAACCACAAGATCGTCTGTAAATGTTCGCCACCAACCTCGGGATCATCTCTCACTGAAATGAGAGCCTTCGTAAAGAAAGCGTTAATCTTTTCCATCCCTTCAATCACCGGCCCAGGATCTCTCTGAAATTTTTATTTTCTATCTCTCTAGATTAGAGTAAAAATCAAAATGAAATCTTTAATAAGTCCCCTCACTTTGTCGTAGGATTGCACAGAGCATTTCTGCTTTGTCAGCAATTGCATCTCCTTCTCAAAACTCGGATCACCAGCCACTCCAAGCGACATAATCGCACAGCCGGCTAAGAGAAAATAAATTATGAGTGAGTTCAAAAATGGATTTTTATGTAAAATGTTCAATTGTTGTTTTAAAGAAAATTACTGGACGAATCGTTTTCAAATTTTACAGATGTATGTAATCAAAAACTCTATCTTTTTTACTTTAATACCAAAATAGGTTTTTATTAAAGAAAATGTCCAAATTCCAAACTTTCTTTGGCATTCGAGCAGTTTCGCCTTTGCACCTTTGAAGACCCACAAAAATAACTATTTCCAAGAATTTCCCAAAAGCCATTTTACAGAAAAAAAACAAGCTTTTTCATAGTTTAAACAGAAATTTTGCTGATGGCGGCATTATTTTTAAAAAAAATTGTAAGGCTTATGCATTAACCTAATACTTTCCTTAGTGTTTAAAAAGTCTCACATGGCATGGCCATCGGATTACACACCCATTTCCCGCCATCATCCACATTTCCGATTCTTACGAGACTCGGGCAGAAAACCTTGATAACAGAACTTTGACGTTTGAAAAAAACCCAACCTCAGGCACAATTCCATTGTAGAGTTTGGCGTATCCCCGCTGTTCACCCGCCACTCTTGCGGCATATTTCATCAAGTTGACTCGTTTGTCGTGCTATAAGTTTGCTATGAGTTAGTCAGTCATAGACATTCAAAACATGGACAGTGAAACTTCGTCAGTAAACTACGAAAGGAACGCTGGGTTCTGTCAAGGTGAAAATATTCCATCTTTGGGAGTTTAATTCAAATTTATTTATTCAGTAGTTTACTAATAACGTTTCACTGTAATTCTCATTCAAAACCCACTTGTATTTTATACATTTCCAGCACTGCATCATCCAAGCGACACGATCGGCTTTGATTAGCCCTTGTTTGTGATATGGGGACCGATTTTTGAGTGTTGTACACTTTGGTGTGGATTTCTCTTGTCACTAAAAGTGTTGGAGCAGTTTTCTTTCAAATAACTAAGCTTCATGAAGCATTACTCTAAAGTTTAATTTTAAAAGTCTGGCCAGCTGTAATTGTTTGAAAACGGTTTCAAAAACAGAAAATTTTGAAACGACGTTCATGCCAAATTTTCAAAAAAAACTCACAAGTTTTGATGTGAAGAATCTGAAGAAAAAGTACGATGGAAATAGCGAGAAGAACATAAATTTCTCGGGTGGCACTCATGAATATTATTGAGTTATTCGAATGGTGTTATTGAATGAGAAAGCTTTTGACGCTGTAAAAGATAAAACAAGAAAAGAAAAAGGGCTCAATGTAGCAGATGCTCAAACAAAACCCTTCGCCACCACGTCCATTACACGATTTTCGATTTGTTTGAGCACTTTTTTGTTTTTGATTGATTTGACTGACTAGGGATGCTTTTCGATTTACACTTCGGTTTTGGGTTGAGACCTAGCACATCTTGTTCAGTTTTTGCGCTGATTCTGATGGTGTATTTCGATTGGGGATGACGGTCCTAAAATTTTGAGATATTTCGCTTCAAAGTTTACGTCAAAATTGGGCATCCACAAGTCATAAGGGCTCTACAGCGGTTTGTAGACATGATCTCTGGGCTTGTAGATAATGACCTAGAACTCTCTCTCTCTTTTGTCTCTGGTTCAGATCCGGCTGCGGCTCAACTTTTTGTTATTGCTAAAAACTGTTTAAATAATTTTTCCAGGTTACTTGGTTGTCTAAATATGGCGTGGTGCTAACAATAACCAAAAGTATAATGTAAGCAAGTGAAAAGATAATCGCTCGATTCAACCTACAATTTTCAGAGTTGAAGACACAGTTTAGACGTGGAAAAAGTTGAAGAGCTCCCTTGTCGTGACGATCTCGTGATCGAGATGGAAATGGCCAGCTAGACACCTATGTGGACGAACGCCTATTGTGCGAGATTTAATATGCGTCGCTATCCGTTCAACTCCATTGTGTGTAAGACGAGACCAACGACTGAGTTCCGTATAAAAGCAATGTGAACGAGCTGCCGACATGTGCCTGGAGTCATCTCTACTCTCCCAATCCCAAACCACTGAACCAACTATTATTGCTGTAATAAAGATTATATCTAAACCAACAATAATCACTACATCCCTGCTTCGAGCAGCCTCTAACTGGTCCCAGTCACAACGATATGCAACTGGTGCTGTGTAAAATTTTGTGATCAATCTCATAAATGTTTAATTAAACTTTGACAATAGCAATAACATGGCAATTCATGACAATAAACGTGAGCATCTAAACTGTTTTTGTTTGAACTGTGATCCTTGTGGGCTTCTCCGTTTTCTCCTCGAGAGCATTGCAGATTAGATTCCTCAACATATCCTTTCGAAGGCTTCTAAAGATTAACTTCTAAAGCTTTTGAGTTAACTGATTGCTGTCAAGTTATTTTTAGCTTACTGATTGAACAAAAAGAGCACAGCTGCTTCCTGTGAGTTTTGGAGAATCCATAGAAGATGAGACAACATCGCATAGCCTGCAAAAGCTATTCGTCTTTCTCGTCGTAGCTAGAAAATTTGTTGATTTTGTTTTTAGCTATTTCTCACTTCCGGATCTTTGATGCCATGAACATAAACAGGAGGCATAACCTAGAAAAAAAATCGAATTTCAATATCAATAAACTCTTTCATACCTCCCACAAAACAAAGGTAGCGATTGAGCAAAGAAATGTGACAAAAAGCTGAAAAAATGAGCATTTACTTGGGTAAGTTTCTATGTTCTGCACCTGTTTTAATATGTTAACTCACCGGTAAAGCAAAGTTTTGCTCTTTGTTCTTTGGAGGCTCCGTTTTTCTACTCCGATAAAGAACGACAGGTACCAGAATTCCATATGAAATTGCTCCAGCCACCAAATTTGTGTAATTGGTGAATTTCGATAACTGTAGAAAATCAAGAAATTGTTTTTTTTTCTAAACTCTTACATTCTGATTGATGTCAAACTGCAGAGACTCGTCAGTGAACGCTTCAAAGAAAACCTCATTCGCCCAAAAGACAAACGCTCCACCAGGGGTCATGTACATGCCAAGAACAGAGAAGAATAAACCAATGATGCATAGTAGAGTACACTAGAAGTTTCTATCAAAACAAGTTAACAAGCAAGTGCTTGCCGCATAAACAGCTCTTGGAATGGAGTGAAGTTGAAAAGGGAACAGAACGATGGTTAAACGGTGAACAGCGATGACCCCTCTTAGCAGATCCGAACAATAACAACCGGCACGAGCAAAACCAATTGTTAGCTAGAGCGTTTAACTTTTACATGTAGTTGATTAACAAAAAGCTAAGCATTTACATGATTTTTTGCTATCAACCAGATGTGTCTAGGGATGTGTCAACTTACTAGGAAACCTATCCAACTTGCCCACGTTCAAGATTCCCTAATTACCGTAAATACTGTAATAGAACGGTACCCCCATAATGACGGGGTAGTCTAACTTTACGCGCTCCGTTTTCCGCGTTGCTTTACGCTACAGTGTGCGCTTGGGTGTCAAATGATTCAAGGTTCCCTAATTGCCGTAAATACTGTAATAGAACGGTACCCCCATAATGACGTGGTATTGCCGCGTAGTCTAACTTTACACGCTCCATTTTCCGCGTTGCTTTACGCTACAGTGTGCGCTTGGGTGTCAAATGATAGCCCTTGAAATCTAGTATTTTTTAGTGCTAAAAATCTAGGGGCTGAGAAAAAATGATTTTCTAAAAAGAAGTTAGACTATGCGACTGTACGAGGCGGTGCCGTTGAATTACAGTATTTACGGTAAGTTGTTTCAGTTATATCTGTAGATACAAAACAATTAACAACCAAATGTTCTGAGAAAATTAGTAAACATAACTTACAAATCAGCCAACAATTGGGGAATTACTTACAATAGTGACGTAGATCTCATAATCCATTGCAAGAGTCATAAAAGCACATAACAAATGATTGACTAGTTGAATCATATTCAAAAACGTTAGCAGCATCAAGATCCAAAAGAAGAACGTGTCTCGGATGTCCTTGGTGACCCTTTGCCTACATGTCTGAAAACCTTTTCAGACTTTTTAGAAATCCTTGTCAATTTTACCAAAAACATCGTTGAATTGAAAAACCATCCAATTACAGAAGCAATCAATTGCGGAAGTCCATATTTTAATTTTACTTCACCGGCCAAATAATCCCAAGTGTCATACGGGATATCACTTTGATCGAACCACAACCAGTCGCCTGCTGGTCTTCGCATCGGAGTTGAGCTAGAAATTTTCAAATAAAAGTAACTTTTCAAAGAGCAACAGTGATCGGTGATCTCTTTGAGCAATTACCAACTATTCTTGTTCCAAGAGCTTTTATGGGCTGTAAATTCTTCTAGCCAACCTGGAATTAAAAAAACAAGGAACTTTTTTGAGAATGGTTGGAAAAAGAGTTATTGCAAGAATAACTTTTTCTTTTACGAAGATTTCTGATCACTTGGAAGAGATCAAGAAGAACTTTTGGTTACAAAGATTTTTGACAGAATCCTGAAACTTTATTTGTGAAACACGTCGAGACAAATGAAACATCATAAAACATGAAAAATGGAGCTGATACGTAATTCGCTGCAATAGATTTTTATTTCTTCTCTCTAATAATCATCTTCTCCACATTTTCTCATACAAGCATCATATGACGGAAAACGGTTCTCATTTCCATCACCTCCTATCTATTGGGTTGGTGAATTGAAAACTGCGGGCTATTGTCATATGTGACAGTTTGAGCACTTTCTTCAAAAGAAACCCATTTTGGTGTCAATGGAAAAGTTGTAGAGAATCAAAAATTAAGCTTATATCCAAATTTTCAGAACGATTCAAAAACTGGTTTTCAAGAAATGCCAAATTTACGAATTTTCACAAAACTTGCATTTTAAGCAAAACTACTAAGTGTATCTTTTTGGAAATTTGGCTATAAGTCTAATTTTGATTCTCTACAACTTTTCTATAGAAAATGGGTTTCTTTTGAAGGTCGTGCTCAAACTGGGACATCTCCAGTCCTCCATTTTTGAGTCTCACACTTGTCTCACACACAAACCAAAATCCTACTACGAAAGAGGAATCCGCAATTTGGCTGTCAAATGGGCAGAAGTCGTCAATAATAATGGAAATCATTTGGAATGAATTATGGTTTTATGTTGAATAAATTTTAGTTCAAAGTCCCGCAGTTTTCAATTCCCCAACCCAATTTTAGGTTGGGGAGCGAGTTTCCGTCAATTCTTTAGAAGAGGGTCTTAAACTCATCTGATTTGATCGTGTAATAGCTCATTTGAAAGATAATTATCTAGCGGATTGAATGGAAAAGGCTGTTTGTCGATTCATCAACTTTCAAAGTTTTTGCAGCGGTTTTACCTAGGTGCCTTCGACCCCAAATTTCAAAAAAATCGACATTATTTGTTTTTTGTATGGAAACCTGTGCTGAAACCATGCTTTTCGGAATCAGCGTTAAAAATTACCCGAGAATGCAACATAATTGTTTTTTAGCAGAAATTTTTAAAAAAACCGACTTGACTCGGAATCGAACCCTCGACCCTCGGATTACCACACAACCTTTGCTTTTTCGATGTTTTTTCGTTGTTCGAAGATGTTAATCTTTAGGAACAGACAAAACTTACGAAAAGTGCCCCTCCGTTCTTCTCTTTTTTACGGAAATTAGTCCACCTCGTTTGCCAATTCCCATCCACGAACAAAAAACGATGGATTTTCTTTTGTAAATTGTAAATTTCTGTCTTGGTTTTTGGGCTACTTTGATAGAGGTCAAAGCACTATTAGCAAATTATTATTATTATTAGCAAAACATCGGGAGCATTTAGGCCATTTTTTGGGCTTTTTGAATCTGAAAAAGTAAGAATTTCCTTGAAAACTTCATCTCATGTTGAAGCTATGTTATGTGTACACATTATGGCTTTATCATATATTTATCTACGTCTATCCGTTGGCTTTTTTCGTCGTTGGACGGCTCGTCGTCGCCCAGGGCTGTATCTCATCTCTGGATATTTGCGTGATGTCCAAATTGTCGAGCAAACTGAAACCTTTGATTAGTTAGGTTCATTTCTTTGGGTTCGCTCGCCGTAATGGAATCCAGTGCGGCAAATGGAATTCCTTTGGATTGAAGTGCCTGGGAAGAGTGTTATATGGCGTTGCAAAGTGCTAAACTGTATTTTTAGAACGAGGCGGAGAAAAGTTCGCAGTTCTGGCAATAATCAGCTCTAGACTTGTAACGAAAACATCTATCGGTCCTTTTGGCCGTTGGTAATTTAAACTTTTTCGTGTTTTTCTCAACCAACCCTTTGATTTCGACTATTTTGACTAGCATTCGATGCAGAATAAAATTGCGGTCGGATGATACCAAAATAAACTCAAGATGTGATCTCCATGCAAAGTTATCAGGCAAAAAGTTAAGTCCCGCCCATAATCGGCGGGGATTAAGTTTTTAGACAACGAATGATCGAATTGATTTGAGTGAAATCGTCTAAATCGTTTCCTGTTTGATTTATCGTCGGTTGTTTTGATTTATTTGCTTTGGCCTCGTTTATCTTTTGCATAGGTTAGCATAACGCGCTTCCTCCCCATTTCCCCAAATGTCTGGTCGGTTTACCAAATTTCACAATTGTATTCTGAAGCCCCAAAACGTTGCGCAATTACAAAAATAATCACTTTTCGTCATTCTCAGCCCCACTACATGTTCGACAACTTTACAAAACTATATAAAAGTAGGTTCTTGTATCTCACCTCAGCATAGAAAACTTTTGCACGACCGTTTTTTGCGAGAAAAGACATCATATAGGCGTACGTTGAAGCAGCAGCTAAAATTTGTGATTGAGAAATAAAGGCAAAAGCTGTCTCACCGGTAATCAGAAAATTGTCGCAATAATCTTTGGCCACGATCAAAGTGTTGAAAGCAGAAAGATTATCGACCAAAATGTAAAGAACGTTGCCGACTTGTACAAAGGATTCGTTGTCACTATAAATGCATCATCGAGTGGAGTAATCACCGTAAATACTCTAATAGAAGCTCCCCCAAAGGAGCATTGCGTAGTCTAAGTTTACTCTTGAACAAACGCTCATATCTCGACATCGATACGTTTCTTTCTCAAATCAAATTGGAGTAGAGAGAATGGGTGATTTTTTTTAGATATAACACATATTTTTAGCATTAACCAGCGCTTAGAATCAAATGATTGAAAAATGATGAAAAATCGGCTTTTTGCCACTTCAACGTTACTTTTTATTTCGATAAATTTCTGAGTATGTCTCGCGCATCCATGAGAGATCATTCGAGAAGAGAAGAACGGTGATCGGACCGGGTTTCTTTTTCAAATCTAAATTGACTCTTTTATTTTAAAAACTCTATTTCTCAGGTGCTAACTTTTGCAACCATTTTTAACTTACACTTTTTTATTATATATTTCGTGGCTGATTGGGTGAAATTTGCTTCTGAGGCTGCCTGTCGTGTATGAAGGAAATTTCCGCGACGAGCATGAACACATAACCTAGAGGTTAGAGAAGAGGTTCTCCTTTGCTTCACTTGCTCAAGAATGACAAATGAATGGGTATTTTCCTACTTTAGGCTCAAGAGCTACTGCTAAATGAAACTGAAATAGCAGGATGACGTTAACACATTCGTGACAAAGCTTTATGGTGTTTTCATTTCGCCGGACGAGGGCACTTTTCAAATTTAATCCTGTAAACATTTGGTACGCCGAGTTTGAGAGTATCGGCTCGAGAACGAGTGTTTTAATGGTTCTGAGGGTAAAAGCCACTCTCGCATCCGGATCTCCACGCCCAAAAAACCTCAAAGTGCAGCTTTTAGATGATTTTGTCGAGCCATTGGGGTTGGGGTCACGAAGGTTATCGGACACTTGATACGCGCCCGGCCTCTTTTGCCATTGGCAATCTAACTTGACCCCAAATATCTTGGCGTTGGTCTGTCCAATTTAAATATTCTTCTCAGCATTGGATGCGTCAAGTCTTTCTCTGTCAATTGGTACAAAAACTATTCAAATTGGACAGCCCAATACCAAAATATTTGAGCTCAAAGTTGGATTGCCAATGGCACAGGGAGGGGGGCGCGCCTCAAATGTCCCACAATCGGTCGCAAGCGTCTTAACTAAATTGAAACCGAATAGCATTAAATGTATAAGTAATTAGTTAAAAGCAGGAGATACACCCGTGCCAGTCTGACTCTAGTGGGGCATAATGGAAAGTGAGAAGATGCCGGGAGAAGAATGATGAAGAAGTACCGAAAGAAGCACCCACACTTGTCCCTCGACCAAATCTCGCTCTCTGAATGCATATTTTGTTTCATTGGCGGCGAATTCGGACGGTGTCATCCATTTGAGCAGAGACGGTCTGATGTGAATCCAGTAGAGATGGCTCTAAGTTTGACTCTTATTTGACGCCCAGCCAAAAAATCCGCCTAGGAGCGGGTTTTTCTGGCTGGTTGTGTTGGGGCATAGTTTTGTCATCCTGGCGCAGTCCAGAGCGCGCTTGTCTACGGCTCACACCTACGCTACGGCCCGGGCTCAATCCCCAGGTGTTTTTTGACTTTGTTTTTTAAAATGTTTTTAAAGGCACAACTACAATACATTCTTAGCTTTTTTAAAGAAGTTTTAGCTTTATTGGTCAAAACATGGCCGAGAAAATGCCCGTACAGACAGACAGACAGTGCTCTTTTATATACTACGTTGATGCAAAAGAAACATTTCCTTGCGAATTGCCAATTTAAGAATGCGCAAGAGGTTGAGACTTGGGTGACCGACTACTTTCAATCACAGAATCAAGAGTTCTTCAATAAGAGAATGCGTAATCTGAAGCCACGTTGGAGGGATGTTATAGATAGCGATGGTGCTTATTGTTTCGAATAAATTGTTACCTAAAGGAATTTTGATTGAAATGAATGTTTTTAAAAAACCGAAATTCCTTTTGCATCAACCAAGTATCACTGCTCTTGTACCTGAAAATAAATCCCCCGTCCGCTAACGACGGCTGAGGTATTTTTCTCGAGGAGTTCATCTATTGGCCAGTAACGACAGCAACCCTTTCGATGTAAGGCAACATCTGTCGTGTTTTCCTAAAAGATTTTTCCTTGTTCACTTGTTACACGGATTACTGGTCAACAATCATGTTTAGGCATACGACTGTACTTTCAATTTTTACCAATATTGCCGGATTCGAAACGAGCGTGATTTGCTCGATTAACGCCGGGAAATGCAGTCTTATTCGGGCCAGCATTTTCCCAAGAACACTGCCATTCTTTTGGAACACGAGTGGGGTTCTGTAATTCGTTATTGATCGAGTCCCCTCTACTCCGAAAGCTACTTTACCGGTGCGACGAATTTGACAATCCGAGCAGAGCGAAAACCTCGAAAAGTTGATTTCCCACTCCGCCACCAGACCAAGTTGTCGTTAAGGGAAGAGAAAAGTACCCTAAGCAATATATAGACCTCAAAAATGCAAGGTGGTCGATTGTTTGTTAGGGGAATTGCTAAACACTCAATAAAATAGGGTAGCTTAACTTCAAAGCTAAATTCTTTAAGCCTAATCGTAAAATTCCTAAAGGCGCCGTTCTTTTAGAATCTAATGATTGTCAGTGGTGGTCACAAGATGATCAAGATACCCACTTTTACTCTTTTCCCTTCCTTCTGGCAATTCCTTGTATATCAGCTCAAGACGTTCCTTGCTAGACAAAAGTTCTTTTGGGGGCGGTTTCGTGGTTGTCTCTTCTTCTTCATCATTTTCGTTATCATCATCATCTGCTTCTTCTTCTTCTTTTTCTTTTTTATCTTTTCCATTCTTTTCTTCTTCTTCCTTTTTTTCCTTTTCTTTCTTTTCTTCCTCTTCTTTCTCTGCACTCCTTTCATCTTCTTTTCCTTCTTTCTTCTCATCTACTATATTCACTTCTAGTTCTTCATCATCACCTTCTTTATCTCCTTCTTTTTTTTCTTCCTCTTCCTTTTCTTCTTCTTCTTCTTCTTCTTTTTCCTTTTCTTCTTTTTCCTTTTCTTCCTTTTCGTCTTCTTCCTTTTCTTCTTCTTCTTTCTCTGCACTCCTTTCCTCTTCTTTTCTTTCTTTCTTCTCATCTACTATATTCACTTCTAATTCTTCTTCTTCTTCTGACTTTGATAATTCTCCTGAGGCTGCTGTCATTTCTATTTCCTCTCGTGAATCTTCTGCTCTCACAACAGAAGCAATTTTGTCTATAAAGCTAAAACTTTTGAGGATTTTCAACGAATCTAAGAAGCCTACCTAGGCCTTAAATTGGTGGCGAAATTCCAGTCTGGATAGAAGTTCGAAATTTCGGTTATATAACAAACATAAGTCACTGAAAATGTTTTCTAGATTGTTTTCTAGATTGCTCTTTTGAAAACACCTACCAATGACCACAAAGACGAGCACTTTCCATATGCTCTCACCACTTGCCATCGATGCCAATGAAAGAAGAAAAGAAAAGGAAGAAAAATAATGGGAATCGATCAGCGACCAATTTGAAGAGCCTGAAGGAAGACTTGCCGAAAAACTCTTTAATGAGCAATGCATACAAAGTCTGACCGGTAATAAAGACCTAAGCCGTCACACTACCAGTTGACCTTATTGGGAACCCCGCACTACTCTTCTATAATTTTGAAAAGTTGTCTGTTTGTTGCAAGTCTTAGCCTACCTGCCAAGTTTAGAGCCAGAAACATGTAACTATAACTTAAACTCTAATAGAACGGCAAAAAAGAGCCGAAAAAATTTTTTTTAGTAATTTGGGAAATCGAATAGACATTTTGGCGGAAATAAGGAGGAGACGCGTTATGCTTGCCTATGCAAATGTTCGTATGTAAATTTGTCTCGGGAAAGAGAAATCTTTCAGAAGATTCCGTTCAGCGGTTATCCATTTTAGTAAAAGATAAATGAGACCAAAAACAAACAAATCAAAACAACCGGCGATAAATAAAAAAGGAAAAGATTTAGAGAACTTCACTAAATTCCTTTCGAACGTTTCTTTCAACATGCAAGCGATTCTTCTTGATTCGTTTACCCTTCCACGCAGAAACACGACGAAAATGTAATGTAATGTTTGAACAACTTGCATCCCTTGTAATATTTACATTAGCAACTGTTCGAAACAAATATCTTTCTGCCAAAAAGCAAACCACGGCCGCTTCCCAATATGAATCATATTCCATTCAATGGAAATGGATTGAGTGAAAAAGGTAAGAATGACTGATAGAACAAATGTTGATTATTTTGGAACAACACTTAGGACAAACCTGACGAACAATGGATGCTTACTAGCGACTGGTACCAACTCAAATTGAACTTTTGATTCGAGACCGAACCCATCTTATAGAAACGAAGACAAACGAGAAGGCAATCGCAACAGCACAGCGTGCCTTGGAAAGAAATTTACTCGGCCACAACAGGAGGACCCGGCGCTACCAAGGCCTAAGAAGCTTTAACATGCGTCAACTCTCAAGACTCAGAGATCCTATTGAAGTAATAGAGAGGAAAAGATTCCGATGAGCAGGACACGTGGCGAGAAGAACATGATCGGTGGACGACAAGGATAACAGAATGGACGCCACGTGACCAAAAGAGGTCCACTGGAAGACCAACAACAAGATGGAGCACACGAGTCGAGGCAACACTCAGAGACAAGCTGCCGAGGATCCAGCCACCGTCAACACAAGTCCAAACAAGAATGCCAACTCAAAGTGGACTTTTGATTCCAGTCCATCTTATAGACCCAGTCCATCTCATAGAAGCAGCCATAGGGAGCCCGAATCCGCTTTTATTTTTTGCAGAACGCTTCGGAATCGCGAAATATCTGGCATAGAAAATTGCCCTAGCTTTCGGACTCTCTATGGGGATGCTACACGGAATCCAAACAACTGCATCGGTAGATAGTCTATGACTATCGAACCTATGACACTTTCTGCTCTCAAGTTCGACTCCCGCCCTTACAAATTTTTTCACTTTTTGCAAAATCTCATAGATTCAAACTTCCCGGTATTTAAAACCTTTTGTTTTTGATTTGAGAAGATTATTAATTGAATTGTGCTTTTTTTCGTTTCATTCCATCCACTGAATTTTGCTTTTTTTTTGCCGTCAAATGAGAAACCAATGACTTTTTGTTTAAAAAAGTTTCCCTTTTTTCTGTTGAAATTTGTCTACCAATTTCTCATTCAATGTTATCGATTTTACAGTGAGCAAAGCTCGGCACTCGATTAAAGCATTTTTGAATGAACAATGAAATGAGATTTTTGCTTCATTTTAGTGCGGTTTATTGTCCTCACAAAAAGCCTTTATTTACTTTGATCAAACTTGTTCTTGGCGCTTAGTTATTAAAACTAAGTACACGTTAAAATCCACAATTCATGATCAAATTTTCTGTAGCACAATAGCTGGTTGTCGAATTCCGCTGAGTTTCAATTTCCCCTCTGGGAATCCCTCAGTGAAGACGACCCGTGTCTTGTCATCATACCAAAACACGCCCAAAAGACGAAAACCTGAATAAATTAGGAATTGATACGAAAAATAAAAGAATTTTTGGATAATATTGAGCTAGCGAGAACGCTGTTAGAATCCGGTTAGAATCATCAAAACATCAAAAAGCAAAAGAAAAGTTTTGCCAAAAAGGATCGAACTCGAAAAAACGTGGCGGTCATTTTGTATTCAAGCGCTTTAGTCACTAAACCATCAAGCCACGTTTGAAGTCCGTGAAAGAAGCGTTATAAAGGCATCCCTTATTCGGCTCCAAATTTTCGCATTTTCACTCGTAAACTTAAAACATGTATAACATTTTATAGGAAGCCATTTTGCAAAAACGAAAAGCAGATTCGGAATCAGTGTGAAATTCTGCGTGGAATGGTCCATGGCTCGTCTCATTTGGCCATATCCTACTGCCTTTCCCTTGTGAGACTTGAATGGAGGGCGGGAAACTGAAGAATTCGAATTTTTCCTACCCTGTATCATCCACGGTAATCGAATCGCGCCGTATATCCGATGAGCGTTCCAAATAACGGCGTCAGAGCCTAAAAATGAGTCATGGATTGGATCGAATTCTTCGGATTAGATCGAAACGTTCTGCTGTTATCCAATACGATTCCTAGCATGCCTAGACCACAAAACATTTGCCACTCACCAACAGGAAAACCGACGATCATCAGGCCACGATTCTTGAGAAGACACAGAACTTTGGCCATCTCACGCACATCTCCCCAAGGGTCTAATGGATCACCGTATCTAAAAATTAACAAAAAACCCCATGTGGAAACTCTTGCCAAAAGCAAACCTTCCCAAGCCGCTGTGCTCGAGAGACGAGAAGCTGATCATGAAGTCGAATGTCTCCTCGTAACTGGAAAATGGATTTGAAATGTAGGAAGATGAAAAGCGTTTTACCTAGTCCATTCCTTGGCCAATTTGACTGGATGGATCCATTTCATTGGCTGTTTTGTCTATAAGATGTTCAGCACTTTCAATTGTCATTCTGGGAGCCTACTTCAATTTCCAATTCTTGATATTCGATGGTGAGCACACTAGCCGCACCTGCTTTCAACGCGAACACTTCAGCCTGAACTTTTAGAAGTTCAGTTCTGTAGTCTGATTTGGTTGCCTAATCGATTCAAGACAAAAATCAATGTTTTGACTTTTGGCTTGACCAGCTTCCAATTTTTATGGATTTGATGGATTTGGGCCTTGGCGTTTAATGCCTACAATGCCAAATAGGCTAAATATTTGAAAAGTGGACTCAAAATTAAAATTGTTTAACCTATTTAGCATCGTGGCATCCCACTCTGTCAAAACAGCACATTTTTTAAATAACGTCCAGCTTGTTAACGATTCTAAAGACAAACCCAAGGTCTCTGTGATCCGATAACGGCACCATTTTTGCCTTTGATATACTTTTCGAACATTTGCAATGCGTCCAACACCACTTCTAAATATTATATAAAAGTCAAACTGCTAACAAACATGGTTTGGACTAGAGTATGTTCCTTTTGAATCAGTAATTACTCGAGTAAAATTTGCATGAGTCTTTTTCACTCAACTAATCAACGTGTTTGAACTCTTTACCACGAGTACTCTTTACTTTTGAACGAGTAATTCTCTTTACACGGTGAATAGATTGAATATCTTTACATTTGAAGGGAATTTGCCATCAAATCAATTAACTCGCCATAACTTTCTTCTAAGTGGGCTAATCTTTATGGTTTTGGTGTGATTTTGCAGATCTCAACAAGTGCAACAAAATGACACCAAAATCATAAAAATTCGCCTACTTAAAAGAAAGTTATGGCAAGTTGCGCACAATAGCCACCCCCATGAATTTTCGCGCTAATTTTTTGCAATAATTTGCAAAGTATGCTGATTTTTCCCAAGTGTGTGTTTTTAAAAAACGTCCTATTCTCTGTGATTGTTTTTATTAGTTTCTTTGTTGCTTTACTTTGTTTCAAGTCTATTCATTTTTTTATAGGACGACAAACAAGGGATCTGCCATTTTGGAGCTTCATCGTCAAGGTCAATGCGTGAGTGCGATCGCGCGATTGCCACGTGTTTCTCATCAGCTCGTCTCAAAAGCGATTAAGCGATACAAGGAGCTTGGCAACGATGAAGATCGTCCAGGAAGAGGCAGAAAAAGAACAGTCAACACCTCCAGAAATCGCAAAGTCATTCAGAAACGCGTGGCTCGGAATCCACAGGTCTCAATGAGAAAGGTCGCTCGACAGACGGGGATCGCTCGCGAATCGGTTCGAATTATGGCCAAAAATGAGCTCAATCTTCACCCTTACAAGCTCAAGCAAGGGCAACAACTCGACGACGACAAAAAACGAGTTCGACTCGAAAGATGTCGAGAGCTTCTCAAGCGGGCCGCAACTCCACACTGGGAGCGAATCCTGTTTTCTGACGAGAAGCTCTTCTCGGTGGAGCAAAGCTGCAACCACTGCCCCTGCCTTATCGACTCTAGCTCTGAGCCGATTGACAAAAGACGAGAGAACGATAGAGGAACAATGAGTCACCCCTTCAGAGTAGACTAACATTTGATCCCAAAGGTAAAAAGAAATACATGGATCACTAAAAGTAAGCTTTCCTGAAAAAGCATTACAAATCAAATGTGATAACGAAGCCTCAGATCTGCCGCTTTCTTCAGGGGCGAAAAGAGAGAATCTATTTGCAAGTTGAGGCTGATCTATCGTCAGTTATTACAGTGTTGCAAATTTGTTCAACTAACAAATTATTATCAAAATGGCTTTGCAGTTAAAAAAGTGATGTTTGACTTAATAGTTATACAGTGCGTTTCAAATTCTTAAACGCACCCTCTAAAATGACGAATTTTGCATTTTGAACACCGCTACAACTATTAATCTTTTTCTATTAGAAAGAGCATGTCTTAAAACCTAAATAACACGAAAAATAAGCATACTGCAAAAAGTAAAAATTTTCAAAATAGAAACCTTTTGCTTGATTTAACCGTTTCAAATTCTTAAATGCACCCGCCTTTGCTGTTGTTATTTCAAATTTTTCGTTTTGTTGTGCATATTTTTTTATTAAATTTATCATTTTTGTTAATCTTCAGGTAAATGACACACGGAAAGCTGCTCACGGATTATGATAAAGGCCAGATTAATGCCCGTTTGTGGATTGGCGACTCAATAAGGAAAATCGCAAAAATTTGGGCCGATCCGGCTCTGCCGTGCGAAATTATGTAAAGTGCGAGTTCGTTTCTGTACCAAGGAAGAAACCAGGACCAAAACCAAAGCTTACACCGCGAGCTAGACGCCATATTGTGAACAACATCCACGGAAAAACGATCAATGAAGTGAAAACGGAACGGAATCAAAGTCATCAAAGAAAAGCGCACATATCGATCGACAATTATTGAACATCCAACCGATCGTGAAGCTTTTACACAAGAAAGCCCGATTGGCGTTCGCCAAGAGTCATATGAATCAGGATTGGTCTATGGTTAGAAAGCCGCTTATGTTTTATTTTTTTTTTGCGTTTAGGTGATCTTTTCCGATGAGAAGAAATGGAATTGGGATGGTCCCAATGGCGTTGACTACTATTGGAGGGATCTTCGACGTGATCCGTTGGTGTTTGGAACTCGAAACTTTGGCGGTGGCTCTGTGATGGTTTGGGTCGCCTTTTGTGCTGATGGAACGGTCGCTCTGAAGATGGTTTCGAATCGGATGACTAGATAGATATCTTGAACAATTGCTTGTTGCCGTTTTTGCTCCTAAATCCAACCGTTCCCGATTTGTTTCAATACGACAACCCGTCCATTCATCGAGCTGGAGACACCCGAGACTGGCTGAACAACAACAACATTGCAACTTTGGCCTGACCCTCTCGATCTCATGACGTCAATCCGATAGTGAATTTATACCGAATACTTGTCCGAGCTGCCTACAAAAATCATCGTCAGTTGCAAGACGTATATTTGTACCTAAAACAGCGATCCGTTTGGCCTGAAGCTATCTCGACGTCTTTGCTTTTCAAAACCTCATCAATTGAATGTCAGACCGCATTTTTCAAGTAATTAATCGTTCTGGTGCGTGTACAAATTATTAGTTTTGATTTTTTACCTTTGATTGTTAATTTATGTCGATAAATAAAAATATTTTCATAGTGCGTTTAAGAATTTGAAACGGTTAAATCAAGCAAAAGGTCTCTATTTTGAAAATTTTTACTTTTTACAGTATGCTTATTTTTCGTGTTTTTTAGGTTTTAAGACATGCTCTTTCTAATAGAAAAAGATTAATAGTTGTAGCGGTGTTCAAAATGCAAAATTCGTCATTTTAGAGGGTGCCTTTAAGAATTTGAAACGCACTGTAGTAGAGATTTTGCTGCTACCTGGTTTCAGTGTTTAAAAACATTTATTTTGTCTTTAATAAATGTTTGCAAGCAGTCTTTATCATTATATCATTATAAAATTCTACATAAACCAGAATTCTTTCTTAAAAGTGCTGACGGATTCGAACCTGCGACCTAACAGTCGCTCGTTTTGGAAGCAAACGCGTAACCCACACGGTCATTCACAAAATTACGGTAAGTTTTTTCTTAGAAACTTTAGAAAACACTTTACTTGAGATGTACAAACTCTAGTCTGGATCGGCACCGGGCCACCTTATTGAAGACCTGGGTCTGGTGCGGTCCAGGCGGTCTAGATCTACCGAATTTTCAAGGCTTCCGGCCCCAAAGCATCCAGACTTGCTTGGCTGCTAATAATACATGCTTAACGCAAGAAAAAACGTTTTCTTATTCCCGCACTTGTCTGATGTCCGTATGTTGCCCCGGCAAACATGCCAGCGCCTGGCTCGAATTGCTTGTCGATTCCAGTCCACTTCTTTGCCGTGGGCCCCACTCGATCATTTACACTAGCCAGTCGATGATCAATATAACTAAATTTAAAGTTACAGTCTGATGTGACTCTTATGTAATAAAACAATCAAAAAGTCACCCCCTCCCAATGGGAATTCTCCCAAATAGGGTGTATTCATTCCAAAATTCGTCGGGAATTTCCACGGGTGGTTTCTCGGCAGGCGTTTTGTTTGCGGTAACAAGCCACCTCTCGAATACCTGTTTTTTAGAACATTAACAAAACTGATAAAGTAAAAAACTGACTTCGGGACAAGTTTTCCCAATTAATCGGTCTCTCGCTTCACGTTCGCCTTTTGTCGGCGGATCATCGAAAGTTGGCATTTGTGAATCATCTTCTTTAACATCTTCGGAATCGTCGTCTTCGCCAGTTATGGTTTTCACAGGAGCATCCATCGCTTCTGTTTCTGGACATTTTGTCGGCGGACATTGATCTCTAAAGTGGACTGTATCTATTAGGGTGGTGCAAAAGAAACTCCCGATGGGTATCAGCTCTCATTTATCAGAAACGAGCGATGCTAACAGCATTATTTTTTTTATGTCTTGTTCGCATATTTGTTTGCTATTTATTTCGACATTTGAATTTTTTGGTTGTTGTTTATTTTATTTAAAAATGCTTATATTTTTTATTTAGATCATGATCGAGCAAAATTTTGTGCTACGAGCAGCATTACTGTTTAACTTCAAAATTGAAAATTCTGCTGCCTTCTCGCATCGTTCTCTCTGTGCTGCTTTCGGAGATGGCAGGTTGTCTCTCAGGCAGTGTCAGACTTGGTTTCAACGATTCCGAGAGGGAGACGAGACTTTGGAAGATTACGAGCACGGTTCGAGGCCAGAAGTCGTGAACGAAGCCAAGCTGAGGGACTTTATTCAGGCCGATCCATGCCAATCTGCTCGAGATCTTGCGAAAATATTCCATTGTGAAAATACACCATCGAACGCCATCTTTTTTTTGAATTTACCGTCAAATCGGCAGTTTCTTTTGCACCCTAATAGTAAGAAAGAGATCAAGATTTGAAGTTGTGCATTTTAGGTGGAGTGTTGTTTTTCTAAAGCCAGTCGGAAATCGGAACTCAATCGGATCCACCCTTGACTATCATAGGAAAAAGTAAGGCTACCCTGGCGGTCGGGCATACGTTTCGGTGTCGCTCAGTGTTCGCCCGGTAAGCGCGAGGTCGCGGATTTGAATCCCCCGCCGACCATGTTCTGTATTCCCAGCCCCAACGCATAAAAGGACCAGCGTGTCCAACTGAACACAGCTCTATATCGATAGCATCTCCTATCAAAATCGGTTAACTTTTAACTCAAAATTCTCAGCGATGGGGCTCCGATTGGGCTTAACGGTATCTGCCAATTAGAATCAAAAGTATCCCAACCAAACAAGGCATCGCTGAGAATTTTGAGTTAGAAGTTAACTCATTTTGATAAGGCACACTATTGGTATAGGACACTTCTAGAGAGTTAAAGATTACCTCAGTTTTTGCTCTTCTCGCAAAAAGAACTTCTGCTGATCTTTTAACAGAAAAGCAGTGAAGAAAAGAACGAAAAAAGCCAATAAAATGTTGGTATATTTGAACATTTCGGACAAAGCTTGTAGACAGTTACCTAAAAGTGTTCATTTGTCTTTGAAGAGAACAAACTTTTGAAATTTGAATGCTGTTGTTAGAGCATGCTTTGAATGCTTTTATCTCTAACAACTTTGCTTTCAACCAAGTTGAGAGCAAAGTTGTTAGAGATAAAAGACAAAGCATGGGTATGCAAGAGTGCAGGAAATAAGAAATTTTTACGGTTTCAAAAAGAGAAGTGTGGGCAAAGAAGCCGAGAATTTGGTTCTACTTGGAAATGGCCGAAAAGTTTGATGAAATTCCTCCCCATTCAAATGGATTTCCCCTTTTTTCTTTGTTTGCGCAACTGTTTTCTGACATGAAATTTACCTCTGGGAACACTCTGTGAACTTTCTCGGAGAATCGAACTTCATTCTACCAATCATTTAAGTTTAATTGATCTTAAGCTAATACCAGTTAATCTGATTTTGATTGATATTTGATTGATCTATTGGGTTGGGGAGAATGAGTCGACGCCGAAAATCAAAGAAATTTCTAAAACTTATAGCAGACTTTGTCAAATGATATGCGTTGATATCCGTAGAAGGGTAACTAATTCTCTACAAAATAATATTTAAAAGAGAACTCAAACAGCGCCTCAACTCAACAAAGGATCATTTTTTTCACAAAATCGATAAACTGTCATCTAGAGTAAACGGTTGGAGGGATCTTCCTGAAAATTTGGTAACTTATGTAATTGAGTGTGCTCTATCTTTTTTTATATAAACACCAAAGGAGGTTTATGTGGAAGAAACTGTTCAAGCAATGAGTCGGACTTTTTTGTCATTTTGATTAGCTGTGTTTGCGAATCCATAAAATCCCAAAAAAGAAAAGCTTTGTGGAATCTCTCAAAAGCCATTTTGTAAAGAAATAGTGGACCATTTTGATGAAACGAAACGTGCATTTAAAGAAGGTTTTATGGGTGCAAAAAGTTTCTTTAAATTTCGGCGCCGACTCATTCTCCCCAACCCAATAGTATCAGTTAATTTGAGTTTGATTGATATTTGATTGATCTAGTATCCAGTTAATCTGATTTTGATTGATCTTAAGCTAGTGCCAGTTAATCTCCATGTTTACTTTCCTTTTTAAAGTTTTTCTTTTTCCCAAAAATCCTTCCCGTTGCCAGGTTTAGTTTTAGCTTTAGGTTTTCCTTGAGACTAACAAGGGAATGATGATTGGGTCCCGTGGTTTTTTCCGATGATATATAGACCATTCGACGCAAAATTTTACGCTAATTCCAATAAAAATTAGCTGCCGGCGCGTAATCACCGCATAGAAGTTTTGAGCCAATTTTTGTAAGCTGATTGAAGGAAAGTAGATACCAGATAGACGGATGTGGACAGACTCTCATCGCCCTTCATCATTACTCGTATATACAAGGAACAGAGGAAATGGAGAAGAAGATCCTGGCGATGAAGCTTGACAAAGAAAAGTTGAGCAGATTGTTAAGAAAACCGGAACACTTATAAGAGAAGTCCTTTAGGTCGGCATCTGGGATTGAGCTGAGACTGCCATTCCTCTGACTAGTCAAGTACGGGATTGGATTTCTTATAGATCTTATAGAATCGGCCATGCTGATCACGAATATGTATATAACTTTTGCCCTCGTTCGCCCAAACGCAAGATATTTGGCACGGAAGTTTTAGCAATTACCTTATAAAGTCCCTCACGCGTTGGAAGACAGTGCGACCCTTAATTGTTTTGCCACTGTTTCCAATCCTTTGCTGCAAAGCTTTTTGCTTTTATGCCACGCTACTAATATTGGGCTGATGCATCATTAACCGCCGTTCCTCTGACTAGTCAAGTTCGGGATTGGATTTCTCGAGAACTACTCAACCGATTCTCGTCTTCTTTTTTTATTTTAAAGCTACTTATATCAAAATATTTTTAAGCTACAGAAGGTTTTCGAAAATTTCGTGAAACTTTTTTATGAGGGTTTGAGGAAAAAGTTGATTTTTGGAAAAATCTCATTTTTGCACAAAAGCGTCTATAAACCAAAAATTTAAAGGTAAACGCCTAGAATGGTTCAAGAGAAAATTGTAGCTAATGTAAACAACGATTCAATGAGCTATAAATGTGGAGTAGGCGATGTTCCTATCTAAAGAACGAGTTCGTGGAAGTTGACCTACTTCGAAAATAGATGGCTTGACTATTTTAGCTCTCCTAGCTTCATAATTGAGTTTTTTGCCAAGAAACTTCGCAATAAAATGCAAAATTAAATTCTGTACAAGATTACAACAAAAATTTTTTTGAGATCATGTTTGTTTGTGAGATTTCCAAATCGATTTTCCGAGAAAAGAGCACACGGTTATCTTAATTCTTCAGTGGTATCAGAATCAATATTGTAAAATTTAACAATGATTGCCACATTTTCGAAACCAAAATTATGGAGGTGTACAAAGCGAAATATATAAAAAATAATTTATTCTGACTTCGCTCTTTATTGGCGCAGATCACAACTCATACATTCTATCTATTCTAAAAATTTTTTTAGTAATTTGGGAAATCGAATAGACATTTTGGCGGAAATAAGGAGGAGACGCGTTATGCTTGCCTATGCAAATGTTCGTATGTAAATTTGTCTCGGGAAAGAGAAATCTTTCAGAAGATTCCGTTCAGCGGTTATCCATTTTAGTAAAAGATAAATGAGACCAAAAACAAACAAATCAAAACAACCGGCGATAAATAAAAAAGGAAAAGATTTAGAGAACTTCACTAAATTCCTTTCGATCGTTTCTTTAAACATGCAAGCGATTCTTCTTGATTCGTTTACCCTTCCACGCAGAAACACGACGAAAATGTAATGCAATGTTTGAACAACTTGCATCCCTTGTAATATTTACATTAGCAACTGTTCGAAACGAATATCTTTCCGTCAAAAAGCAAACCTCGTATGAAAGAAACGCTCGTATGAAAGAAAAACGAGACCAAAGCAAACAAATCAAAACAACCGACGATAAATGAAAAGGAAACGATTTAGAGTATTTCACTCAAATCCTTTCGATCATTCGTTGTCGAAAAACTCAAACCCCGCCCATTATGGGCGGGACTTAACTTTTTGCCTGATAACTTTGCATGGAGATCACATCTTGAGTTTATTTTGGTATCATCCGACGCGCAATTTTATTCTGCATCGAATGATAGTCAAAATAGTCGAAATCAAAGGGTTGGTTGAGAAAAACACGAAAAAGTTTAAATTACCAACGGCCAAAAAGATCGACAGATGTTTTCGTTACAAGTCTAAAGCTGATTATTGCCAGAACTGCGAACTTTTCTCCACCTCGTTCTAAAAATACAGTTTAGCACTTTGCAACGCCATATAACACTCTTCCCAGGCACTTCAATACAAAGGAATTCCATTTGCCGCACTGGATTCCATTACGGCGAGTGAACCCAAAGAAATGAACCTAACTAATCAAAGGTTTCAGTTTGCTCGACAATTTGGACATCATGCAAATATCCAGAGATGAGATACAGCCCTGGGCGACGACGCGCCGTCCAACGACGAAAAAAGCCAACGGATAGACGTGGATAAATTTATGAAAAAGCCATAATGTGTACACATAACATAGCTTCAACATGACGTGAACTTTTCAAGGAAATTCTAACTTTTTCAAATTCAAAAAGCCCAAAAAATGGCCTAAATGCTCCCGATGTTTTGCTAATAATAATAATTTGCTAATAATGACTTCTATCAAAGTAGCCCAAAGCCAACACAGAAATTTACAATTTACAAAAGATCGTTTTTTGTTCGTGGATGGGAATTGGCAAACGAGGTGAACTAATTTCCGTAAAAAAGAGGAAAAGTTTAAAAGTGATCGTCAAAGCGAAAGGATAGCTGTATTCTTACAGTTAGTGGCTAAATCATACATCTTTCAGCCAGCCTAGCTCAGTGCAACGAATGATACTCTGTTCTTGATTGACTACTCAAAACTGAACTGTAGCCAACCTCCCGATCAGAACAAAGAGGTAGCTTTTGTAAAACAAAAAGATTGGTGGAACTAATGTTAGGAATTATAGTACAATTTACTTCAGGTCGTTAGGGATAAGCGACCTTCAGTTTGTACAGCTCCTTTTCCGTTCACTATCAATAATTTAACACGGAATCATCATAAGTGTACTGAGACTATGTGAGTGAGATAAAGAGCGGCTTGAGCTTTTCTACATCGAACCAGATTTTCCTGATCTAGTCCGATGGGCGGCAATTTTGAGCTCAGCCTCGTCAGGTGTCATTTCGAGATCAAAAGGGACATAATTCTTGTCCAGCTTGACATCAAAGAAGACAAGTCGAGAGTTTGCGCTTTCTTTTCGAGTTGTTAAATGGGTCGAAATTATGGCATATAAGGTTGGTTGAAATCGACGAGCAAGTGCAGTTGAGCGGCGGGAGACAAATGCCGGCGAGACGACCGGCAAGTTGAGAACAGGTTCTGCACGACGTTGCCTAGAAAATAACAAACTTTTCAAAAAAGGAATCAGACCTAAAAATAGACTGAAAACGAATGAATAAATACATAAACAATTATTAGTTGAAAAAGTTAAACTTTAATTTACTCACAGTGTGTTCATATGTTCTTCCATTTTTTGCGTAGACTTCGGATGCTTGATTCGAAGAATTCGGTGTCCCGCAACGCAAAGTAGTCTTGCGCCCAAATTTCGACTTCTTCAGGATCGCTAAACTTTTGATTTGCAAGAGAGTGTTGCATAGACTAGAACAAGTGGTAATCTGAGGGAGCAATATTAGACGAAGATGGCGGATGAGGCACAAGTTTCCAGCCTAATTCTTCTATGGTGTTTTGAGCCAAGTTTGATGTGTGTACCCGGGCATTGTCAGCGAGCAAATGGATTTTCCTTGGATCAGCACCTCTTTCTCGTAGAATTTCATCAACTTTCTTCAGCTGTTTGGCGTAGATTTGAAAAGTTATAGTTTTTGAAGATTTTCGTAATTCAAAATAAACGATTCCTTTATTCCAAAGCC